GACCACATTGAAGTCTGAATTTGAAGTGTGAAGATGCTTCAGCAACCACATCGTACTTTTCCATTGCTTTCATTGTGCTTCTACTGTGCATGTGTGTAACTTGTGGGGTAAACATGTGATGACATTGTATGCTGGCCACACGGTCAGATGTTCATGCGTCTAACGTACACCTGCATGTTATGCATTGAAAAGGGTTTGCCACTTGCGATCCTGAGACGAGTATCAGGTCAGCTTTGTCCTGTGTGGGCTGTATCAGATTGCTGTTCACTTCTCTATCTGTTGGATATGTGACTTTCTGCAAGTTTCTGGTGTATGATGGCCACGTCCTTGCTTGTCACTTTGTATGATATTACATTCTGTATTCGCTGCTTCCATGGCATGGTCTGCAAACTGCAATCCTTGGGCAAATGTCATGTTTGCTATGTTGTGCTTTGGCCGTCAGCTTGTCTACACGCTGTAGTTGAATTATTTTTGTTTCCCAACTGACTTCCTCAAGTACGGTGGCCACTGCTTTGCATGGCATTATACATGAAGAATTTCCTGTTTGTGCCGTGTGCATGTGCATATGTGTGCGTGGCCACGTGTGTGTGCCGTGTGCATACACATGTTTGTGTATCTGTGTGCGGGGTAGCGAGGCGGGGAGGGCTGGTATGTATCAGTGTGTTATTGCAGTCGCATGGCTACATACAGTACATCGCGCGCGTGGTCATCATGTTTACCTTCGGGGTTGGGGTGGGGAGGGAACGGAAAAAGAGCTGAAATTATCCATATAAAAATCGCTCTGTGAGCGGTTCTGAAAAACCTTTACTGGTACTGCCCGCGTCGTAAAAGTAAGAAATTAGAACTGGCCCATTGTCCCCCCAAATGCGAACTGATCCACCTAAATCGCGAATGACGGGACCCGAACGCACCAGTAGCACGAGGTTCCTACCTGTGGATGCAGATGGGGACGTTGGTCCGGACCATAGGCCATGTACTGTACTAGCGGTAGGCTTCCCTATCAAAATAATAAATTCTACTACTACTACTGGTGTTACCCTATGATAATTGCCGTGATCCTGTGCCCTCCCGACCTTGTGCTACTGGTGCGTTCGGGTCCCGTCATTCGCGATTTAGGTGGATCAGTTCGCATTTGGGGGGACAATGGGCCAGTTCTAATTTCTTACTTTTACGACGCGGGCAGTACCAGTAAAGGTTTTTCAGAACCGCTCACAGAGCGATTTTTATATGGATAATCATTAATATACCCTACATGCAGGAAAAGGAGGGGCCCTAGGATGGATCCCTAGGCCCTGGGGCACTCCAGACACTCGGAACAGGTGAAGCATCTGAGAGACGTCCACCTACAAAGACAACTTGCGTTCTGTCGGATAGGTAGTCTGTAATCCACTCCAGCGCTGAGCCACACACTCCGAAAACTTTGGAAAGTTGAGCAAGTAATGCACACGGTGCGGGTGTCGGTGCCACACGGTGTCGAAAGCTTTCTTGAGCGCAAGGTCGAAAAAGCACATGGCAACCAGGGAGTCGTAACTTTCCGCCCCATGTTTTTTATATATGTATGAGATAATGCCTAATATAAATATAGCAATAAAAACTGCTTTATGGCAGTTTTCTAAAAAAAGTTATTGTGTTCTAGTCCATGGACCCCGTCTAAAAAGTAAGAAATTAACGAAATGTGATAGCTGAAAATTAAAATTTCACACAAAACCTCACAATAATCACAACACTTGAAATGCTGCTTTCAACTTTAACTTGTACTGCACCCACAATTGGCAACACTCATGCATAGGAAAGAGGATCACGAGGGGAAAAGGTCTTCTACATGCAGCTTTTAATTCTGTGTTTGATTATTGTGAGGTTTTGTGTGAAATTTTAATTTTCAGCTATCACATTTCGTTAATTTCTTACTTTTTAGACGGGGTCCATGGACTAGAACACAATAACTTTTTTTAGAAAACTGCCATAAAGCAGTTTTTATTGCTATAATTTCTTTTGTTTTTTTCTGTCACCAATCAATGGAATGCCCTATATCAATATGTAAATGATTGCCTTCACATCATATCAAGAGGTTTATGTACTCTTGATCTTGATCATATCAATACCGCATTATACACATTGATGTCCAAGCCTTTTCTTGCAGAAAATGGCACTAGCATAATGCATGTTCTTCTGCGGGGAAACATGTGAGTAGTGGTGGTGAAACTTTTTTATACGGAGGTCATTCTGTGCATGTTGCTGTTGCAGAATTTCATGACTGCCTTTCAGATTTCCCCACCCTCGATCAGATTTATTTGAGAAATGTAGCCATGCGCCAGGTGCGTGTCGCAGATGTTTTTGTTGATTCTGTGTTTATAATGGTTTATAATCATGGGTTATCGTGATAAGGTCATCCAGCATCATATTGCACTGAAATCGTAATCCTGTTGATACAACTTTTGGAAGTAGTTCAATGACTTCAAACTGTCAGTCCCCGATTTTCTAAAACAACACAGCAAAGGAGGAACAATAAACATGTATTAAAATGTAAACAAATACATTGCTGAGTCCGACACCTCGTTCCAACAACTACACTGATCCTGAGGATAAAAGGGTCAAGGCTATGGTTGGAGGTACTGATACTGAGAGATAAACAAGGCACTCCATGATAATAAAATCTTACACATCTTTTGGCGAGTGTGAATGATATTCAGTCGAACCTCTTTAGGACGAACACCAAGGGACCGATGGTATTTATTCTGTGAGTTTGTCTTAACCTACATGTATTTTATAACCAGTGAATACAATTATTTCTCCAATAGACATACGAATAGATTTCTTCTGCAGCGAAAGATTCTAAGCCACACCGACTCATTGACTCGTCTCGTATGAAACAAAAGAGTCACTAGAGAGGTTCTGCAGAACGAAAATGCGTACAAACTTTCGCTCTACATCATGAAGTGAGAAACTACGCACGAACTTTCGCAACTTTGGACGCGAAACTTGCAGGGAACGCGAAATGAACTGTCGTAGGAAATTTCGTGAGATCGGGTCATGGCGTACGTACACTTGGCCCGCGCAAACTACGAAAATGTGCAGAACGCAAAATTCGTGCAAAAATTCGTACACACTTTCGCAAGGACTGTCGCGAAACTTCGTTCGGATTTTCGTTTTGCAGAACCTCTCTACTGAACCTTTCTTTAGCAACATGACGGCAACTGAAACAGCAACAGAGAAAGTATGATACATGTACTGCACATTCTTGCAGGTACTACAGGTACTACAAACAGATTGCAGATCGTAATTCTTGCTTTGGCGGCACGAAATTATATTTGGGGCAGTGCAATCTCGGCGGTACTCACAAATCAAACAGCCCAGACTCGAGTAAACAAATCCAATCATACAAGTACGAGATTTTCACGAGACGAGACTGCACCCATTGGCTTGTTTCGTATGCAGCAAACAAGTTACTGAACCTCTCCACAATGGAGATATTCCCTGATATGCGAATATATTTGGCAAACTCGGTCAATGAGTCCTTGAACCTTTCCCTCCAGATTGGGAACTGCCAACGATAGTATGCCACTGACCAGTGCCTTATTTGTAACGTACTAATGTGCAATGAATATGAGTATTTCGACAACACATCTAACATAAGCCTTACCGTCAAGAAGGTGAACTCGCGTTCTTCGCACACTGTACAGGCGCGTGCTCGGCGATGGGCACGGGGGGCACGTGCACCCCCCAAAAATTTTCAATCTGGGTAATTGCAATTGTAATGTATGCAAATATGCTCTAAAATTCAAGAAAGATTGCAAAAAAATTGCAGAAAATTGCCGGGGCCCCCCCCGGGGGGCTCCCCTCGGCTCCCGTGCACCCCCCTAGTTAGGGGGCCGAGCACGCCCCTGCTGTAGGCAAGGGCAAAGAGATAAAATGGATCTAAATCCGAATAAAATCAGCACACGTTTCCGTAAATGAAAGGGTGAGCATAAGCAAATGAATCGAAGGAAACTGGTCAACTTATTGATCACCTGTCATTGAGTATTCTGTAAAAGGAGGCCTCGGCAGCGGAAAAGCTAAATTTAGAAAGGAGATCCTGTCAGCTTTTCCATTATTTATTGCATTCCGCCTAAAATCAGCACACTTTTCGTAAATGAAAGAGTCAACACAAGCAAATGAATCAAAGGGAACTGGTCAACTCACCTGTCATTGAGTAATATTCCGCGAAAGGAGGTCTCAGCAGCGCCGAAACGAAATGAGCCAGGCCAGGAGACGAAATATCCGAAAGAGCTCATGCAAGAAGCAGTTCCAAAGAAGAAAGTTCCTCGTGCATGCACATCCGAAAAGGCAACAACAAAAAGTCTGCAATGCACACGCATGCGGCCAGCCAGCCGCGCGATGGTACGTAGGAGCCATGGAGTAGCTCCCTGGTCCAGGACCAGGTACCGAGCATCTTACGTAGAAACTTACGTAGCTACGTAGACAACGTGTCTGAATAGCGGTGTCGTTAGGTAGCGCCATGTGAACACAATAATAGAAAAGCTGACAGGATCGCTTTTCTAAATACAAATCATGTGACATCGTGCATTCCCAGTTGCGCCACATGCATATGTCATCGCTGTATGACGTCAGAAACCCTGCACATAAAGATGTATCTTTCGGCGTTTCGCTAGCGGGCCCGCGGCCCCGGGGCGGGCACGGGTCGCGGGGGGTCATGAGCATTAATTTTGATGGTCATCGATCTGCGCTGCAGTATTCTGCACAACGCCCCTGCCTGTTGACCCGTAGAGGGTGGGGTCAGGGTGGGGTGCTTGGGCGCGGTCTGCATCTGGACTCTGAGTCTGGTTTTTCTGGTTTTATCGATGGACATGTTTGGCGCCGGCGCCCGCGGACCCGGGCCAGGCGCCAGCCGCTACAACAAGTGTTTGTTTTCGTTTGTGTGTGTTTGTGTACTGTCTGTGACTGCATGAACACACATGTCGAGTCAGATCAGGACTTGATGCATCGATGATTGATCTCGTATTCCCCCTTGTATTGCGAGTACCACCCCGGTGTAGGTCTGTGGACGAAGTCAGAGAACTGGAAAGGCGGATAGGCGAAGTGCTTTGGTGTTGTGACAGTCACTCGACATTGTTTGCACTGCTTCCGGATCAGGTCCAAGGTAGTTTCTTCTGCTACTAGAACTTCTGGATTTGTGACTTCAGCCAGCTGGTCGAAAGAAGACGGAGTTTCTACCTTCGGAGTCTAGTGGCGTAAAAAACTTGGTCCTGATTTATTGTGTTCGGCGGCAAGTTGGAGCTAGCTCCTGTAGGAGTTGATGCCACAAGTCTGGTGGTCTGTTCTGGTTTGATGTGCTGGTGGAGCATGAGTTAGGAATTGCTGGGAAATGGTCGAAGACACTAGCATCATCGATACTCTTCGAACCAAGCTCGAAGCTGGTAAACCATTCGTAAGTGATTACCCTTTTGTCCCCCCTGGTATGGATTGTTTCTTGCTCATCATCTCTAGGAGAATGCACACTTGTCGTAGGCAATGTGGTGTGTGTGTGTGCGTGATGATGGGGAGGGGGGAGGTGATTGAAATACCCAAAGCGCTGAAAGCGGCATGGTCGTTTGTCAGCCGCATTTTTTTCGCACTCTGGTGTATGGCATTGTGAAGTAAAAAATTGTGCGCGTGTATGGGTTTGCGTGTATGTGTGTGCGTGCTGGTGGTTTGTCGAGGTGCTTGCGCGCGCACATGTACATGTAGATGCATCTGTCACTGTCCGACGCATTGCTGCTTTTGTACTATCCCTCCCATAGACCATGGGGTTTGTCTGCATGGTACCCACCTGCCACTATTTGTAATCCCTTTGTTCCTAAGCACATTGCACAGAGAGTATATAGTGCACACAGGGCTAGGGCCGAACTGGCAACAACAAAAAGTTTGTGAGTGACCAAGCCCTTGATAGATAGAAGCATAACCTTACCATGATAACACCATGCTCACAAGTGGAAGCATGCTTCCATGCACACACACACGTACATACCGGTACATACGATACTAGTCTCTGTACACAATACGGTTGGTCTTGGGACCGCAGAGTATGGAGGGGATGAGCAGTGATGCAGAAACCTGCCAGAAACCCAATCCGGGGTACATTGACCGTGGACAAGTTGATGTTGTTTGCAAGATCTTACAGACATGGACCCGAAAGCCACTGGTGTGTTTTCAGGAGTGTCCAAGAACCGGGGCCCACCTGGTAGCGGTGGAAAAAGGGACAGACATTCTAACATGAGAAACACAGAATTCTGCACCACATTTCCCCATCCAGTTTATACATGTCTGAATGCATAAACACGCACGTACACATACCCATACGCTCACGTGTGCGCACACGCCCATGTGTGTGCACTTACTGCACTGGCACTCGCACGTTCTTGTGTTTTACCCTCCCTGGACTTGCGGTCATGCTTGAAGCATAGCACATTCAGAGAGGACAACTAGTTTGGTAGTTTCGGCCAACATGTCTGCTATCAATGTGCGTTTTTTTGCTCAATAAGTCATGTACGCCTGTCACACCGTACATGAACGTGTGAAACGTGATGGTATTCCTAGACACAGCAAAATCTGTTTCCGCCAGTTCTGTAGCATAGGTGCCTTCCTTTGTGTTAAATCTGAGTGTTGCCGCAAGAAGGACAGTGGCTTTCCTCTAGTCTGCTGCACCAAGTAGACCACTTCGCTGTAGTACTGTCTTGTTCTCATTCCTTTGGTGGTTCTGCCATGATGTGTTGGAGTAACAAATTGGCCTTTCACGAATTGGCCTTTCACTCATTTGCAGATGGATGAAATCTCATCAATCCCGTACATCCTGCAGTGACCCTGATGTGGTTGTAAGAGGTCTGCCATGATACCATATTGGTGCCCCCGGAATTCAGAGAAATAATTATGCATTGAACACTGATATGGATGCTGGACAGTGGTCTCCTACCCAAGAGAACATTCACCTGGATGGTATAGAGGTTCAATGTTGGCGAGGACTTTGACATTGACATTGCCGTAATATGATCGATAATTACGGACGGGCCCTTACAAGAGTGCTCTGTTTCGAGCATGATGGGTGCCACACAGTAGCGTGCACTAGTGTCACCCATGGAATGGCGAAAGCACAGTTTTCATGGCGTAATGAAAGCCCCTTTTGTGCGTATTCATTTTTAATTAATAATGTTTATACTTGTATTACAAATGAAAGGAGGTGCGGCATTATTAACATCGCTTTGTTTGCCTTGTTTGCTTGACAACAGGTCAACTGTGGGCCAGTGTTAATTACTTTGAACCCATACCAGGACACCGATGCATACGATGGGCCCGTTTCGTCCTTCTATCATGTCGAGCGCGAATGCGGCCCCAACAATGTCCTGGCAGCGCGGTCGCATGTATTCAGCGTTGCCCGTATCATGCGCCAGCTGCTGCTCCTGCACAACGGTGTACAGGTAGCAGTGTTTATGGGATTCAGCGGCTCTGGAAAATCGTACGCAGCAGACACGCTCATTAGGCAAGCAATTCGTCCCTACCCCATTGCCAGGTATGTCATTCTCGTGTGGCTGAAAATTCTGGAAGCATGATTGTAGCAATGTCTGGCTCAGGTGCTGTTTCATGTATAGTCAACCTTGTGAATAATGACCTTGGCCCGGCTTGGGTATAGTAACAACTCGCCAATAATGACACAATATTCAAACCTAGTGACTAACGTTATTTGTAGTGCTGAAACGAGTACGCCGAGTACTCGAGTACCCGCTCGTTGAGTACTCGACTCGATATCAAAAAAGGACTCGATAAATAAATAAATAAAAAACTTGATAGCGACGTACACATCCGCCGTCCATGTGGCTTTGCAATGAAAATTTGTGTTTATTGAAGGAGATTGAATTGTGTAAATGGTGTGCAAAAAATGGGTATGTGGTACTGACATATATGCGCATGTGTGCTTATAGAGTACTCGATACTCGACTCGATAGTGACAGTACTCGCTCGATAGCTTATAGAGTACTCGTTTCAGCACTAGTTATTTGGCTGCATGCTTTCAACCTCACGAATAACGACAACTCGCTAATAAAAGCACTCTTCTCTTTAAGACAATTGAGGGTCATTAGCTAATAGCCAGGCTGATGTTCAGACCATGTTCCTATTCAATTTATGTTCTTCATGAGTCATGCCTTGTACACTGTATTAGCATATGCTTGGCGCTTTGTTGGATTCTGCTTCTGGGAGCTACAGTACCACAAGAAGCCTTCCTTCACATTAGTGCCATACCCCACGCCTCTAATTCATTGTTCTTTTTGATGTTTTCCTCTTTTCTGCCAGATCAAAACCTTTCTCCCTCAACCCTGCCGAGACCGCTCCCCTAGGTGACCGTGTGACGAAGGCCATTGCGCTGATCCGCAAGGCCATCACGGCGGGTGGTTGCCAGAACAGCACTTCGACGCGTGGCATCCTTGAAATCGGCTTGCGCTTCCAGTTACCTTGTGAGTATCAACTACTGTTGTAAAGAGCTGGCAATAAACAATGTATAATGTTCTAAGAAAGGGTTTGCTCCCCACACCGGAGCTCGCGCTATTCCGCCGACTTTACTTGACACTTGACTGACTCACGACTGCCATCCAGAGCACACGAGAAGGCCATCGAACCTTCGACTCGGCAAACCTGCAAGAAAGCACCACTCCCTGCTCAATACACAGTGTTTCGGGGAATTCACCCCTCATCAGTTGAGCTTGAGTAGGCTGAGGAAGATTGTGCCTGAAGAGCACCACTTATATAGTGCTCTCCAGGCACAAACATCACCAGGGATACAAACTTACAGAGACGCTCCGTTTCCAGCGCGACAAACACCTCGTGAACACCAGATAGCAGCGTGAGTCAGTGTCGCTCCTGGACGGTGAGACAGACGTCGAGGACCCTCGGTCATTCGCAACGCTGTCACCTCCAAACCAACTAGTCGCAAGCCCGCGCTGGGCACAACAGTACGAAGTCGCAACCACTACTTTATAATGTTCTAGGCATTTCAATGAAGATTATTTGCAGCACAGGAGATCAGGCCAGGCCTAGCGGCAATAGAATTAATATATAAATTCTCGAAGCTAGACTTTGGAGCAGGCTCGTGCGTTCATTCCCAGCACAGTCCTCTAACCTGATGCTGTGCATGTGTGGACTGTCCTTTGTGCAGCTGCCGGGTCAGAGAATCGGGCAGGAAACCTGGTTGGAGCCACGTTTGCCATCTACGGCCTGGAAAGATGGCGGGTGGCGCTGCGTCGGCCAACGTCCTCCCAGGACTCTCCGTTCTTTATGTTGAATGAAGTCATTGCTGCCCTAGTGTGCACAGGCTTTAGCAACGAAGCGCAGCGTGTCATCGAGAATTCGTGGCGATCAGAGGAGCGGGAATTCCTGACCAACCTTGCCCGGGCAATGCTTGGCAATGAGAAGCCATCGGCCGTACGGGTTAGTATGCAGTTTATCTAGGTTGGAATATTCAATCTTGTGACATGGATTCCTATTACCAGCTGCTCTATATCTGCATCTGAGCGAGGTTTTTATTTTCGATTGTAGGAGCACATTTCTATTTTCTAACAACTACACGTATCAATTTTTGTTCGCATTGTGCAGGAATGGGGAAGGAGTTTCGAGGCTACAGTGCACAGTTTGTTTGGCTTTGGAATGGCCAACATCCAGATCGCTCACTTGTTCCGCGCACTGTCCGCTGTGCTGCTACTAACAAACATCGACTTCAACACGACCGGTGGCATTAACCCACTCTATCTCTCGGCATCTAGCATGGTGCGTGGTGCGGACTGGAGACAAACCTGTACGCATGCTCAGTGGCCTGATGATCTCGGGGCAGGTATCAAATGCACACTAGGTGACGGGGCCGTCCCTGACGCCGATGCTGTTATTGAAGGTGAGCTTCATGTACACGGTCTTCCTCTGTTCTTGTACGCCACGCGGTGCAAGTCCGAAACGCTGAGTGCGTAGCCAGGAAAGAAGCATGGTACACATGGCACACTTTCACGATCTCCACCATCAACTGCACTTGATTTACTGGTGTACGGTTTAGTGGTTGCGGAATGGGGAACAGAGGTGCCTTTTCTCCTTGATCTTGGCTGAATTGCTGTTGTTGTTGTTGTTGTTGTTGTTTTGAAATCTTTATTCTCACGTTGCTATTGTTGCTGAACAGCCGAGATGGCCCGCAGACCGAAAGCTAAGCAGCTGATGAAGAAGGCTACTCGCTCAAAAGCAGACGGTGGCCACGGTATGCAAGCAGCACCGGAAAGAGGCCTCTTCAGCAATTCGCTAGCATACACCTTGCCCTTGTTCAGTCACATGGGAATCAACGAGGACATGCTTCACGTTGCCGCTGTTCAAGGTGGCTACAAGGGCCTGGCTTCGGAGGCGGACTTGCGCGGCAAGCTCCTAGATCGGTGGGTTGCCCCAAGCTGCTGCTGCTGCTGTGTGTGTGTGTGTGTGTGTTTGCTTCAAACATTCCATGTGGGAGGGAGCTCATAGGTGTCAAATGAATGTTTATCCAGTATTTTAAATTCTTAAAAAGGAAACAAGGAAAACGGTGGGGCACAAGTTATGCATTAGAGTCCACCAACTTAACCAGATTTTGAACAGTCAGACATGCACTTTTTCCTTATACCCATCCTCCACGAATTCCCTGCGCACATTTGTATATTCTTCAAGCATCATTTTTGCTGAATGTTTATGTTCCAAGCATGCCATTCTAATCCCAATGTAACCAAAGAGTACAGTTCTGAGCACTATTGAATTTAAAAATATCAAGGAGAGCATACTGTGTCTTTCGTTGCTTTCCAATTTTGTCATGTCTCGTAACACCTACTGAGAGCTTCATATCTTCCTCTACAACCTTGTTTCCTTGACGCCGGTATTGATGATAGTTTCCTTGTTCTTCTCTTCATTATGCCGTGCATTTTGGTGTCTTTTTTTTTTAGACTTGTCATGTGTGGTGATCGGTCATGGATATCTCCAAACGGCAGCCAGGTCAATGCGACAATCATCGACTTTGTTGCCGATTTGTTGGAAGTAAGTCATAAAACACGCTGCCTTCCTTCTCTTGTCATTTTGAAATTCTCAATGCGTTTGGGAAGCCTGTCTGCAAAGCTGCTCGTTCATGGTATGTTCACACTGACGGGAAGTGCTGGCAGCGAGGGACTTTTGTCATGGTTGCAGAGTCACGAGATTCTGGAATCTACATCATGTCATCCACCTACTAGCTTCCCGTAAACGCCGTGGTATGGAAATCTTCCGAGCTGATGTTTGGGTGCCAGCAACCTTCACACCCGTGTGATTGCACTTGCGGTGTATTTGAACCTTTGTTATCCTATCCTGCCCACACCTGCTCCTTGGCTGCTTTGTTTTTGTGCATGCAGCTTGAGTCCGCTGACCTGTATGCATCCCTCACACAACCGACCCAGAAGGAGAAGACTGTCAACGTAGGAACTGTTCAGCTAAGGTGCGACGCTCTGGCGTCATCTCTCTATGCCGGCACAGTGAACACGATGGGTAAGCTGGGCTTTGAGCGCTAAACTAATTGTGCAGATCTTAATCATTGAGGTGTTATGGCAAGCACATCTTCCCGGTCTACTTTTTGCCGTGGCTTCGCTATTACTCTCTGCTCTGGAGCACCAGTGTACTCTCAATATCATATTGTCTTGTATTATATATATAGCCACAGGCGAATACTGTTCTGAGACTCTTTAAGGCCATATTCTCTGTGTCTTGAGAATGTAGTGAGTAAAAAATGCTGCAAGTAATTCCTCTGGAACAGAAACATCGTCACGTTGATTGTGCTGTCAATTCTGCTGAGGTGAGCTCTGAGGAATCGAGTGATGGTGACTACGGTGCCAATTTCTTTTGCATACATGTAGTAGTGCATATACTTCAAGAAACGTTAGCCGCTCATTGCTTTGAAGTTTTTGTTCTGTTGAACCAAACTTCTTGAGCACAGTAACTCCTAAGAATGTAAATAAAAAAGGCATGAAGGTTTCATTTCCGGAGGAAAAATATAAATAAGTGTAAGTGCTTTCCCTCCTTTGTGCTCGTTGTGTCTTGATATCCGACACTGTCAACACTGTCTCATTTGTTTTCTGAACTGGTTTCTCTCCTCCCATCATGCAGTCGACGCCATTAACCTCCACTTCGAATGCAACACAAAGAACACAAACATCATGTATGTCATTGACACGCCTGGCTTCGAGGACACGGAAGGTGCTCACTTTTCGCAGCTGTACCGTAACTTGACTGCCGAGCTCTTCAACAGCTTCTATGTCTCGAAAACCTTCACGATGTTTGAGGTACGGTCCTTGTTAGCTACTGTCGTTCGTCTTTTGAATCATCTGCTGTTGGACTAGCCTGTGCTAGTGTGTGATCCTCTTCATTGTGCTCGTATTTCAGCACATGGAATTTAATACAATCATGGTGTTTCACTTATTGATCGATGCATGTGATGGCGTCATTTGACCCAGAACTCGTTACTTGTCGTTATTTGTTTGCACATACTTCTGACATCATCACTTTCAAGTCTTTCTGTAGTAGGCTGCACACTTCAACTTCCCCTGTGTAGCCTACCTGAGGACTGGATCCTATTCGTAACTGGGAACTGTGTGTAACTCGGAGGAATAGGCTAAAATATAATTATTTCAACATGCGTGTATATGCGCAGTCATTTTCATGGATTGTGGGAGCACAGCACATGCACACCTTCACAATCATGCACACAACTGCACGTGACCCAGAAGCTCTCTGGTTCATGGACCTGTCCGGGTCAGAGGACTTCCAGCATATCTTCTGTTTTCAACATCATCTTGGTTATCTTTAATCCATTGTAACTGAAATACTGGCCTACTTTGGTCATTTAAAAAGCAATGTCAAAAATATTCAACGCAATACAATATTTCGATTGGAATTGTTCAATTTGTTTGTCGATGGTCCCTGTCTTATTTCAGAAACATTGTCGGGATATGAATATCGATTGGACCCCTGTTGACTACACCAAGGTCAGCACGCAAGTTCTGGACACCTTCTTCGGCATGCTCCATAAACGCGTAAGCTTGGATGTGGTGCTACTCATGCTAAACTGTTTGCATGCGATTCATGTTGTGATTGAGGTACATGTAGCAAGAATGCTGTCACCCGGGAAAATGTTAGCAAGGTGATGTGCATGATTATGCTCGTGTTGATGTGGATTTATAAAAAATAAAAAGGGCCAAGGAACTACACGTTGCGCTATAATGTCCACTAACACCACCAGTTCCTAAACAATCAGCTCATGCGATAACATTGCACGACACTGACCGACGGTACTGAATTTTATAAATTAATCCTTGGCTCTCCATCCGAGTCCGTTGATGTGGATCTTTGTGTTTTGCCCCGTTTCTTTTCTCCACAGGAATCCGTGAAGGAGACTATCGAGTCTGCCAACCTTACGTCTGCGCCGGCCTCTCGCTACGAGTACAGTAAAGAAGTCCTCGCAGGCTTGCTTGGGCTGCAACAGCAAGAGATCTGGTCCAGCGATGAGGACTCTCGTGCATGGGATATGGTACGTTGTTTGATAAGACTTGTTGCCAATACAAGACTCTTCTTTAGCATTGATAACACTGCTAGAAGGTGGGCCAATTATCGAATCAACCTGGGTTAAAAAAAAAAATCAGTGCTCTGTTGTACTTGAAGTACTGTAGAAGCCACACCCAGCATGTACTGATTGCATCCTGCATTTATGTTCCTGCGTTTTGCTCACAGTGGAATGCTTTGATGAAGAACAAGGAGAAGAACATCATCAAGAAGGACAAGAAGCTGCACAGGGATGCTGAGTTTGCCTGCAAGCGGTTCTTTGTGAATCACTACAGTGGCAAGGTAAGTTCTTGCATAATTGCAACACTGCCACCTTTGCAACCTTTTTTTCTTTTCTTTTCACCAATGTCTCATTACTTCTTAGCCACATACATGTAGGGTTGAACTTACCACTTCTTTAAATTTGTTGCAGTGTTGACTACAGTCTCATCTGGCATACATTTGGCCACCAGGTGGACCCAGAGCCAGTATAGCTAATTTCCCTTGTTGTTTTGTTGTTGATTTTTCTTGTCCCTTGTAGGTCCAGTACAGTGTTGAAACTTGGGTAGATACTAACCGCTGTGTAATGCCCCCATCTCTCATCGAAGTTGTTGGCACAAGCTCCAGTTCTCTGGTCCGCCGTGTAGCTGAGGTAAGATTGCACCACTGTAGTATGGCATTCACATTACTTCTTTCCAGTCATTCCACTTGTATTGCTCCTGTAATATAGTGCACAGGTAAATCATGTTAGCGTTGCGTTGTGTATGTAGTGAGGTGAGTGTGTAGACTGCGCTCTCTGTTTGCAGCTTCAATGGCTCATCGCAGATGGCAAATATCTCTCGTTCGGTGTCAGGTGCAACCTGGCACGCTCTGGTTCATGTACTGATATAGGCTTATTCAATCAAATTGACTTGTATTGACTTGATTGGGGTAGTCTGTAGACCAGTCTGTTGCATTCCAGCATCTTTCAATGCTGGTATGGTTTGGTTTGTGTGGCCTCCATGTTGTTCATCCAATCTTACGTGCCATTTTGTGATCGGAATGATACCATTGATAAGGATTGTCTTGAGCAGTGTTTATCCTGTTGTGTTATCTGCGTGTCTCAATAGAATGCGGCGGGCAAGAGTTTGCTGGGGGAATTCCAGGTACGATTCCTCTGTTGCTGGACTGACTTTGGGCTTTTTGGTTCTTTTCAGCCTGCAGTAGTGTCTTCAACTTGATTGACTTGAATTTGAGTTGAAGAAGTTGTCTGATCTGATCAGTTTATGCCATATGTGTGTCAGCAATGTATTTCTCTTTTTGCTTTCCGTGTGTTGTTGCCGTAAATCTTAACGTGATGCTGGTCCTTTTGTCTCCCTCACCCTATAGGAGTTTGAACGAACTCTCCTTGCCAAGCTGGGTTCAACACAAAACCACTTCATCCAGTGCATTCGACCGAACAATTCTCGGGTAAGCATGCACGCCTATAGTTTGTCACATGTCGGTGCGCTGTGGCTGTCATGATTCCCACATGATTATACAAGTTACAATAGGTGAACAGCGACGGTACAACCAAGTCGTCTTTGACGGCAAGGAAGGCTTGGTTGCACTGTTGCTGTGTGCCTACTGTATTGTTTGCTCTGTACATAGCCTGAAGACTAATGGATACATGTTACGAAAGAAGGTTGGTTGCTTGCAACACTCGAGCTCGCGTCTTTCCCGCCGACTTGTTGGGAGCAACCAACCTTCTCATAATTGTTGCCGAAGTTGCTACCACTAATTCGATGTGATACACATATTTACCTGGCCTACCTGCTGTGTGTTGGTACAAGTATCAATGTGAAAGAGAATCTAACCTGTATTGTGGTTGCTCTTTTCCACCGATGTTCTACAGAAACCGAACGTGTTCGACACAGATCTGGTTGCTACCCAGGTGAAAGCCATGCAGCTGGGTCCCCTGGGTAAGACCTACGGCCTCGGCTTCCACTACTACTATGGCGTGGCCGACTTCATTCAGAAGTAAGATACGCAGCAACTAAATTGGACTTTAAATACATGTTTCACTTTTTGCCCCCTCTTTCTGATGATGCTTTGTGTATGAAATTTGAAGCCGAAAGAGCCTCCTCATGTGCCACCTTCCAGATGTTCCGCACATCTTTTGAATATACGTTTGATGCTTTTCATATCACATTCGCTCAGTGTTGGCTCTGGATCACGAGTAATAAGAGGGATATTCTTCTCTTCTTCTAGCCAGGTTGATTGGCCCTTGGACTGTACAGGATGCATGTACTCTTGAAACAAGCCTGGAAAGCCACCCACGGATAAAACAAGAACTGGTGTACAGTGTGAGGAGTTGAACTGTATTGCCAGAGTACTAATATGTACATGTATGTGCTGACGCCGATTCCCGCTTTACCTATCTTCAATCTGTTTTCTTTCCGTCACTGCACAGGTATAAGGATCTGATTGTCGGTGCTATTCCTCCCAATGCCAGTGACGCGGATATTTGCAGGCTTATTGTGGACTGCACTGGTGTCGCGGATGCTAGCCGAGTCACCAAAGGAGTAAGTCATGGGGACATAATAATATTATAATGTCTATCTTAGATGCAGCCGATCTACCTTGTCCTTGCCATGACCAGGAAGTTGTTGCTTGTTTCTGGCTGTGCGTCACAACTCATGCGAGATTCTTATTCCTGTGTGTGTCTCTCTTTTTCTCTTTCTCTCACAGGTCCTCATCAATCATCGTGCCAGAGGGAAACTAGTGGAGGCTCTCATGAAAAACTACCGGCAGGTGCCTGTAAGTTTCTGTGCTATTCATAATTTGCTGCCAGCTACCCTATTTTTGTCCTGTTCTTTCCCATAGCACACTTTAACGCTTTTTGGTATCATTGCCTGTTGGTACCCACCACTACTATATCCTGTCTTCCAGTCAATTCACTCTCCTGTTTTCTTTGCCCTCTCTCACCAGACGTCATCTGCTAATCGCGCTACCCCGAGTGCAGTAAGTTGAGCTTGTTATGTGTTGTCACTGCTGTCCATTGCAGTTTTGTTTAACGTTGTGCACCAAGCACAGTAGTGCACCGTATGGTGTGTATTGCCTGTAGCGCTGGGCTTCCGTCCTGAGCATGTTATTGGCAACTTATTGCTATACAGAATAAACCACTGTGCCTAATATGACATTCTTGGGTATGCGAAAAAATCACGACTCGCATCAGACTCGGCTAGAGGCTGAGGGTATGCACGTGGGGTATCAAATAAATAGGCTTGCTTTTTGAGATGCGACAGCCGCGAAACCGGGAAATCCCCAAATTGCAGCCAAATCGCACCCCATGCAACTGCCGCAACTGGGCCATCGCAGAAGTTGAGCTTGGCTCAACTTCGCGACAAGCGATTTGGCGTACGATTTTGACCTTTTATACAGCAAAGTTGTACAAAGGTTCAAGAGTTGCCTGTAATCTTTACAAGTTGTACCAAACTGCGCGAATACCATGGTGACGTACCCACCTGCATTGAACTTCGCGCCAAATCAGCAAGGTGTTGTCGCATCGCTGACTTCTTCTGTGAATGGTCTTTCGCGAGTTCGCATCGCACTATATTTTTACGTTTCGGCATTTGGACTTCATGACTCATTGGAGGTGACATAAATCGCGTCTTTTTTTGGCGTTTCACTCTGCGTATATATATTGCTCCTGTACTGTGAGCTGTGTGGCTTCCACTGTATTCATTTTCTTATTACCTCGTGATGGCTAAGTGCCGACACGTAAAATAACGGAACTGGTTCGGATGTGCAGCGCTATGGGAATGGGTGTTTCCCGTATGTCACGTGATTGTCGCCTTGGAGTTGACCAATGACAGATCAAACAGCGCGGGCTGGAAAGCGCGGTCCTGCCTGCTCAAAGGTGATGGAACTGGATCCACTTGACGACGGGCAGGAACGGATTCCACTGCCCGACGGGCTGGAACGGATTCAACTGCCCGTCGGGCAGTAGCCACTGGACTGACTCTACTTCAAGGTCTTTCATTGGTTACTAATAAAATAACTAAAGCAGAAGAGCGACTGTTTGCAACCACAACTGTCATCATGGTGCTCCAACATTTGATCTGGAACTGGGAGAAAAGAAGCCCCTTTCTTGAACGATATTGGCGATGCGAATGAGCTCCTCCGAAAAGTTGAGGAAGAGACTTTTATTGCGGAGTCGCTCGCGAAGGAGATCTTGGACAAGCCGGATGAGCCTCAACCAAAGCGCGCAATGCTCAGCAACCTGCAGGATCCGCGCAATTTGCCGAGGTTTCCAATCAAGACGTGGGAAAAATCCGTAGGAACAGAACAGCCAAAATGCCCGATGCCCAGTCGACAATGTCAATGGCACCGCGAGAAAAAAAGCACTATGCATGGACTACTACAAAAAAACTGTACCAGAAAACAATCACAAAACACAATGCAGGTGTGTCTGTCATGTATCTCTTTATTTGGCTTGGGTGCACACGGGAAACACGTTCCAGTCACTCATACTCGGCCAGTACCGCTGTTCATCCAGCCCTTGCCGCTATCGCGGCGCGGGCTGGATTCCGCGGTACTGCCCTCGTACTCGTGCAGGAACCTGTACGTCCACCCGAATTCCTTTCAGAGATGTAGCTGCAGGAAGCCTCAGCCCTTCAGTGAGGAGACTGTTTGTAGATTATACACTACCTTGTCATATCAGTTGTCTTGGATTGGATTTGGATTGGTTACTTTGTCTTGCATATCCAGTCCTTGATTGCTGTCCTCTGTTCCACTTGTGTCCATGCAGCCCAGATCCGGTGCACCTCCTGTCGTCCCCAGGCCGGTTAACTCTCTATCGTCGTCTTCACAATCATCGGCACCTGCTGATGACGAAGACATGTATATTGATGCCACCGAAATCAATCCCCGTGGCAACAGAAGCGAAGACGCCCCTGCACCAGTGCGTGCACCGTCTCGTCCTCCAGCTCACACCGAGGTAGCTGCTGAAGAGGATGATATGTACTTGGACGTTTCGCAGATCCAGAAACCTACTGACCAGGATCAGCGCGATGAAGATCCTGTCGACCACAGTAGTAGCAGTGACGCCTACCTGACGTTTGATGATGTCAATCAGGACATGTACTTGGACCTGAGTGAGGTACATGCTCAGGAAAGCTCTCCACAGCCAATCAGATCAGTGTCTGCACCTCCAGCCAACAAACTGCCACCAGCACGACAAACACCGTCGATGCCGGCTGACGATGGAGATATGTACTTGGACCTTAGTGAAGTCAATGCAGCGACATCCATGCAGGCATCTTCATCAGCGCCTACGCCAGCGGGCATCAAACTGCCTCAGCCTGGACAGGCTGCCGCAGCCGATGATGATCTCTATCTAGATTTGCAGGACATGCAGGCTGCTGCTCCTACAGTGGTGCAGACTCCACCAAACAAGCTGGCCGAGCGTACGAAGTCAGACACCAGCCATCGTGTGTCAGGGGCGCAAGAGCTGGCTAAGCTGCCAGGAGCGAACCATGCACTTCAGATGCGAAGGAATACTGATGCTGCGTCCGTTTCACGAGTTCCACCGCCACGCCTGCCTCCCAAGGTGGGTGGTCCTCCCCCAGCGCTCCCACCCACGGGCCCTGCGGACGTTCGTCTTGGTCGCCCTGGCCGTTCTATGTCGGATGACATGACACCGAGAAACCCTCGATACCCATCGGACTCTGTGGTAAGTTATGCGTGCTCGTGGACTTTTTTGTGTGTGTCGAAGAGTAGCACTGTATAAGCAGAAATATTCGTCTGGAATTTAATTTCGTCTTTTTTGTCCAAGGAGCTTTTGGACTAAATTAAATGCCTGACGAATATCGATTTGTCCAGCTTTTCAATACACTCTTATGATCCATGGACGAAGTTTACAACCAAACGAACTCCCTTTTTTCGAGTTGGACGAAATTTTCTGCTTATACAGTATTTGATTTTTTTTGAACGACAAAAATCGCTTGGGCAAATAATGGAATTCTTGGATTTAGTGCTATAGCTTATAATAAGCTGCTTGGATGACGACTACACCGTAACTTGTTAGTATAGCATCGCTGGCCATAAGCGGGAGCCCCGGATTCGAGTCCTGGTGGTGACGGTCATTTTCTCTTTAGACTTTTCCCATTTTACGCCTTTCCCTCAAACTTGAAGTATTAAATATAGCTTTTTTTAGTAGCTCATGTGTTTGGTCTTGTTGTGCTGTGGTGTACAGGTCCCGCCTGCTCTGCCTGGTGCATCTGGCCCACCCATGCCTGCAAAGCCCACAGAGGCGTAAGTACTAACTAGCTTTCTATCAAGTGGGGTGTGCGCATCGCCAAGCATGTGTCAACTGGCAATAGCTATGTGTGTGTGTGTGGGTGGGTGGGTGTGCTGTTGGGAGTTTGTTTCCGCCGCTGTTGTCTTTGTAGCCCTGCTTGTAGTGGCCTACTTTAGCACAATTGATCAAGTGTTTGTAGCTTATACTGGCCATGCTCTGAGACCTACCGCAGCAGGCACTGGGATTTGAGACCTGCCACCGCAGGCACTGGGATTTTCCTGGCTGTGAGCAAGAGTACATAACTGCCCAGAGTGTACAATTCCCCACACATCTTTGCCACGTCTCGTTTAAGAATTATGTCATTTCCCGTGTTGTAATGCACTTGATTGTATACGAAACTGCATTACGGACGGTCAACCTTGCATCTGCAATGCATGGATAGAGCTGATTGCATCATGAAAGTGGGTCATGACTCATCAGTCATGACGGCTACCCATCAGTGGCTGCGCACTCTGCGTAGCTACTAGTATTGCACTCTTCAAATACAGTGCAGCATATACCTGGACATACTTTTCTTTTTCAGTTCCAACAAATAAACACTTGAAGGTGATGCTTTGCCTTGAAGAGGAGCTGCAGTTTATGCACCAGCATACAAAAACGTCCCAGAAAGTTCTGTACAAAATGTGTAGGTCTTTTGACTAAGCAGCTTGTTCAGTACCCGATAAGAGAGACTTGCTCGCTCAGAACGCCACCTGTGGAAGTTACTCGCTGTTGTGTGATGCGGTGCAGGCACTATCTTTACCAGTCCATTCTCTTTGTTTACCACCATCTACATTCCTTCTCATTGAACATGTTGCTCCCTCTTTTGACATAGTCGCATGTGGTTCTTACTTCTAACTTTGTGCAGATGGTACCACGGTGTCATGGAGCGCAATGAAGCTGTCCAACGCCTCAAAGTATTCGGCGGTGACTGCTTCCTCGTGCGCGGCAGCACTACGCGTGAAGGCTCCTATACCCTTTCTTTTGTGTAAGTGATGGCTTAACTCTCCAGTATGTACTGTAGCGGACATGGAAATCCAGTCGATTGACCGGGGCCGGCGCCCTCAGCGTGTACACTCGGTACAGAACGCTGCATGCAGTGCACATGTTGATCCGATGCGACCAGCGGGCTGCAGCGCATAAATGCATGTGTGTACCGCATGGCCACGGCTGCTTGGCCAGCGCCCTGGGGCCGCTAGACGTGCGACCGGATTTCCATGTCCACAACAGTAGGTACTGTATTGAAAACTGAAATCCCAATCACTTCGCTTCAGAAGAACTTTACCTAGTGCGAGGCATCCCAAGTTTTTGCAGAACAGAGCTTGCTGGGCTTGTTTGTTGACCCCAGTCATTATTTCCTGCATTTCTGTTATGCCAACAACAGCTCATTCGTGTCAAACGGAGCCTGTAGCGTTTTGAATTTGTGATGCTCCAAACCTGGATAAATACTGACAACTTTAAAACTCTGGTCTGTTCCCTGATAAAGATGTACAAGTATCTGTTAAATTGTTTTTGTTCCCAGACATCAAGGTCAGGTCAACCACTTCAAGATCAGTGTAATGAAGAATGGATCCGTTAGGATGCCTGGAAACAAGGAGCAATTCGACTCTCTGGCAGAACTCGTGGAATATCATCAGCGCACACCGCTGTCCAAGGACGGCAAACTTCTCCATCAGCCGTGCATCAAGAGATAGAAAGCGTTGTGCAGTGGCTTTCCCTCTCTCAGGTTCCGATATTTGACTCTGTTCACTCGTGTCAATCGCTTCTCTCCATCCCAGCGATGTCATGTCCAACATCTGACAAACTTGTAAAATTAATCTCTCCTCCCTCTATTTTTAATGTATTAGTTCTATTGAGTTGCATTGAGAGTTGTATTTGCAGTATTTTTCCAATTCTCGACAACACTATTTATTTGCCTTGAACCAAGGCTGCATGAATGTGTATGCCTCTGGGTGATGTTTGTGCTTGTATCTCGCTTCCACGTTATATCCTTGATTTACCATGTGCTTGGTTACACCCAGGCACTTTGCCATAACACCATTAGTATGTTTCTGGTGCCTGGAGGAACTTTTGTTTGTCTCTGTCTGTTCCCTTGTTGGTGGCTGTTGTTGACTGTGCAGTTTCTTCTTCTGAGCTACACCTTACCGATGCAACTTGCTTTCCCTTTAACTCTTTCTATTTATTCATCATCGCGCACGATGAAACGGGTTTCCGCTTTCGGTTCAACTGGTGGTTGTAAAAACAGATCAGCAGTGTATTATATTTACACATACTAGAAAGGCCACGAATGTCTGCTGGTGGTGGGTGAACTGGCAGCATCTGTGGGCTATGCTGTCTGGAATCTACAAGAGTAGGGCTGTGTTCACATGAGAGTTTTCAACACGGGTCAAGTTTCAACCCACCATGAACACAGGTTGACTAGAGTGTTAACAATACGCATTGTGCCTGACCCAGGTTGAAGGTTCAACCCTATCCCAAGGGGGGGTCGAGAAAAACTCCACTGCATGCAGCGTATTACTGGCATTTGAAAACACCTCCATTCCACGAACCGGTTATCAGCTACACAAATGAAGTAACAGTTAGTTGCCAATATTTCTGCCATTGGCCATCATTCAATGCCGTGATGAGTTCAAGTAATATGTTGCAGTGGAGTTTGAGAGTTCTGAAGAAATGGTCTGGCAGTATACCACGAAATCAGTTACAATTGAGTTGCTGCTAAAAAAGACAAAAAGTGTACGTAGTCAACTGCGTTTCAGGCCACAATTACATGTAGCTAGTACTAAGCTAGTTAAGTATCTGGCTCCGTTACCATGGTTACCATGATCAGACGAGGCATGTCTGACGACAAGTGTCACGAAAATGCAGCCAAATGCTTTTTTGCACCGATAATAGTAAACGCCTAGTCTTGGTCTTGACAGGTGTATGCTTGAAAGGTGTATGTTTGACAGGCATACAAATACATGTACGGGCAAGAAGCCACTGAAGAAAGAAAAAAACTTCATTATATGAGTACATGACCGTATCGGAAATGAATCCCTCAATGTTGACCATATTCTCTGGAGTACATTGTAACGACATCTAGCTCCAGAGTTCAAACACATAACATCTACATCTATCTTGAAATTGATGTAGCTACTCTCAAAGAAATCTAGAATCTAGAATCACGGCCAATGGAAACTAGCCGGAGTGAAGAATACAGTCCACCAGCATCACGGCGAGAATAATATCGCACTGGACATTAACCCGCGACGCAACGGAGCACGAAGCAGGGAAATCAGCAACAAGCGTCAGTATAGCAATAGCCTTGTTACGGCGAGAACCCCATTGAAAACTGGGACAGTACACAATAGTAGGCACAATCAGCCATGTGTTCCGTCTGCAGTTATCCACATGGGTCTGCTCAGCTGCTGACAACTAATTACTTTCAGGAAAAGAGCCAACCAGGAAAGTACATGCTAGCACACCAGGTAGAGGGAAACATTGGAGCTTTTGCACGGAAGTACATCCTTTCACCTTGCATATGCATACGTAAGGTTTCTTACAAAGCATCCGCTTCATGTGGTTGACGTTTGGGCATTGAACCGTTCCAGCCTCTCTTTCACCCACGCTACCACCGCCTCTTGCAACTCTTCTTTCATGCCGTCTGGTTCCATATGTAATTCATGATAGCCACCTTCATATTCCTGCCAACAGCAACAGCAGCAACACAGAGGACACAGACATTATCTTACCAGTCACAACCCATGCAGCAGGAAGTAAATAGTCATGGGGGCATGCTACGTGGTAACGCGGACAACGCCAGCTACCACCATAATCGTTGCATGGGATGCTACAGCGGATAGCCCACAGAACACATCCATACATGTGCCCACAATGACAGCATACAGTCACGGTCAGCGGTTCAACATAAAGAGAGAAATATATATTGCCGGATGCCCCGTGAAGTTGAGCGTGAACTGTTGCGAAATTACTGCCTACCGTACACGCGCTATTATAGCCCTCTCTCGAATAGTGCCCCTGTCTCTGAGAGCCATGAAAAAATAAAGCCCTCTCTCGAATAGTGCCCCTGTCTCTGAGAGCCATGAAAAAATAAAGCCCTCTCTTGAATAGTGCCCCTGTCTCTGAGAGCCATGAAAAAAATAAATCCCTCTCTTGAATAGTGCCCCCTCACCGGGCTTGTGATCAAGTGCATGCGTAAGTTTGCCAATGTTGTTTTGCTACTGTTCTTGTCCATGTAACTAAACTTGTGGATTCAGGATCAAAATCGAAGTTCGTGTTGCAGTTTCCGTTGAGGCATGATGGTTTATAGTAAACTTTAGACTCTGCTATTCTTTGCCTTTTATTTTTATGCTGGATGACATAAACGTACATGTATCAGCATAAAAAAACAGCACCCTCTCTTGAATAGTGCCTATCTGTGATGGGCTTTGAAAAATAACGCCCCAGGGGCACTAATCGCACGAGTACGGCATAATGCTAAGGTTCACTGGTACATGGTCAAAATGACTACAGTCATACTTGAAGTACCTTCAAGGTTTTATCTTCACTGCCAATAGCTGCCATTAGCTGACGCGAGCCTTCAATCGGGCAAAGACCATCAGCAGTACCATGGAACACCAGTATTGGTGTAGTGAATGACTTGTGCAGCTGCTCAGCCTCTGCTTGTCCTTGCAAAGCGGAAACAACAAATGCAGCCTTCATTCCGCCTTGCCAAAAGTAGGGATCTTTGCTGTTGGCTTCCATCTAGCTAGCAGAACATTTCAGATCGGAATGAAAGAGAAGCGACGAGAACTGGACAGCCATAACGTTAGATGTGATCATAGATACGAGCGTTTGTTTGCTGAGATCATGCAATACACAAGCATATAACACCTAATTTTGTTGAAGGAATCAAGGTAAAAGATGCATTACCTTACGCCAGTATGATTTCCACACAGGCACAGTGCAATCAAGGTAGCAGGGTGTATACTCCGGCCTGGTTCACAGATGGACAGACCCATCACAAGTATACAACTTGCTCATGATCAGCAGTACTCATGATCCAGTGACCCCCTCTTGAACACAATCATGCACATGCGCACCCAGATCATGTGCAGCTTACCACTGATGGATCACGAGAGATGAACTCTTGCGGTAGCTTCCCCACTTCCAGTTGCGGCGTGATTCCACCTGCAACTTTCGCCATGAATATCTGCTCAAGGCAAGCAAGAAAGACAGAAAACAGGCAGACAGAAATAGACACACACATAGGTACTTAACCAGTCATGTACTGCAGTATTGGAACCGGCAGTACACGATCGTACAACGTTAAGTTTAGCATCACCTTGGTACCAAACCTATAGTACATGTAGTAGCGAAAGAGCTACATGCATAATGCAAACAGAGTGGCGCCAACCAAACCAACCTTGACCGGAGTAGCAACATCTGGATCACCGATCAGGGCAGGAGCACTCAGCAAGACAAAGTCCACGAGGTCCGTGTGTCGAGCAGCGGTCAGGAACGCAACCAGTCCACCCTGGATCAAGCAACAGCATGAGACACGATTGCAATGGAGCGAGCTCGTACCGAAATTAAGGATCCCTACCTGGCGACAAACACTAGGATAACAGACGTACTGGGAGTAGAATAGTGCCAGCGGGCTAGTAACGCATGCCATGGTGCAGCGTGTCATACTTACCATCGAGTGGCCAAGAAGGAACAGCGGCAGGCCGGGATGCTGCTCGCGTACTTCACGGAGTCTCTGCACCACATCGGTGACATACTCTCCAAAGTCACTCACATGAACACGGTCTCCTTCACTTCTGCCATGGCCGACTAAGAACACACCAAGCCAAGCAGCACCAACGCAAGTCGACATTGTACGTATGCTGAGGCATTCCTCAAATTTCTAAACAAGCATTGTTCCACAATGTAGCTAGTTGTGTGGGCATGCCATCTGTGTGTGAGGCTGCGGTTCTTGCTGTGTAGCGCCAGTATTCGGATCCGAAAACAGAGGCCATTTTGTTCATAGGTGCTTCTAATGCGTTTAATGCTGTTAACAGACAGGCGGCGCTTCACAACGTTCCTCGTGTATGTCCAGCTGTATCTACAATCTTCCACAACACATATGGTGCTCCAATATCGTTGTTTCTACCGGGTGGTGGAAGGATCTTGTCTCGAGAGGGTACTTGCCACGGCGACCCTTTGGCCATGGCACTGTTTGCGCTGGCCATTAGCCCTATGATCAAACGCCAGTCAAGTGACCACCCATCCATTGGCCAATGCTGGTACGCGGATGACGGCGAGGCTGGTGGTAGGATGATGGACGTGCATAGGTTCTGATTGGCTTTGTTTGACATCCTCAGTATGGTTATTTCCCCAATGCCTCAAAGACGACACTCCTTGTCAAACTGGACTTGGAGCGGGCGGGCACTGATGTGTTCGATTCCACCGGTATTGCTATACGAACTGGCGGAGTGAGGTACCTGGGAGGTGCCGTTGGCCAGTCGTCGTTCATTCTGATAATCTTGATAGACACATTGCGAATTGGGTGCGGGAGATGAGCCTCCTGGCAGACATCTCACTTACACAGTCTCACGCCGCTTAGTCCGCATTTGTCCGTGGTATGAAGAGCAAGTGGAACTATCACATCCGAAGTCATCCGGGGTTGCCTTCCTCGTACAGACCACTGGATGATGTTATAAGTAATAAATGTATCCCCACATTAACTGGTAGGACTGAGGTTTCCCATTCGGAGCGGAAGCTGCTGGCATTGCCAGCACGGTATGGTGGCCTCATTATTCCTGTGGTGTCGGAGGACGCAGAGGTGCAGCGCCGGATCAGCAAAGTTGTGACTGGGCCCGTCATGCGTATGCTGCGGTCTGGGTCCAATGTGTTCACGCCGGCTCAGATTGTTTCCGAGACCAGTGTTCTCCGGAGAGATCAGAACAATCGACGTGCTGCCATGCATAGGGCCCAGCAGCTGGGAGCTAGCCCCTGCCCTAAGTAGCCCTCAGCGTGTTCTGCTGGAAACCTCCAGAGATGCCAGCGCGGGAAGTTGGCTTACGGCAGAGCCGCTTGCCTCCTGTGGATTCGTCCTGGACAAGTCTGCCTTTCGAGATGCAGTGGCAATTTGTTCCGGCTGGCCACTGGATGAACTACCATCGTCTTGCGTATGTGGAGCGGCCATGTCGCTTGATCATGCTGCGGTGTGTCCAACAGGGGGCTACCCCAGTCTGCGCCATAACGAGATTCGGGACCTGTTGGCGGAGGCGTTTTCGGCCGTCATTCCAGATGTGAGGATAGAGCCTACGTTGCTGCCTTTGACTGGCGAGTCATTGGGTGGTGCCATTGCCACTCATTCTGCCGAGGCTCGTTGGGACATCTGTGCAAGGGGCTTCTCGTCTTGACAGCAAGATGCATTTTTTGATGTGAGGGTCACCCACCCCTCGGCGTCCTTGCTGTCGCGATCGAATGTACTTGCCCAGATGTCTCGTAACGAAGCACAGAAGAAACGGGCCTACCTACAACGTGTGACTGATGTTGAGTCAGGCACCTTCACACCTTTGGTTTTCGCGACCAATGGTATGTGCGCTTCAGAATGTTCCCGTACTCTAAACATTTCTGGATCAATGCCGTTTGCTCCAGATGTGAGTGGAAATATAGAAGGCCCTTCATGTGCTGTGGAGGGCTTCTGGTAATTTCAATATCTTCCTGCTGTAGTTATACTGTGGGTATACGAGAGAGCTTGGAAGCTCAGGGCCCTACGCTATGCTTTTTTGCCTTGATGACCTAGACTAAAAAAGCATAGAGATGTTATTTTAAATATTCTTATAAATTTCTCCTTTAAAAAAAAAACATAACCTGGGATTCGAACCCGCACTACCGCCCTGCATGCACCCCCCGATACACTTCGCATACATACAAATTCTTCCAAGTTGCTTCACGTTATGATCTTGCATTTGAAAGCCCTATTTGAATATGCATTGTGGCCAGCCGTCTTTGATGGTACGGTACGGGACAGGTACGGTCGAGGGTAATACGACAGCGTCTACCGCCTTGTTGGCCTAGGCAAAAAAGCATAAGGATGTTATACAGTCAGACCTCGCTTATCCCGTCCTCGTTTATCCGGATCCCTCGCCATCCGGAAGAAAATCGATGGTTACCGATGTGCAGCATATGTTATGCATACAACATAACCGGACCTCGCGATCCGCATACCGGTGCATGATTTTGTATACAAACTGGTTAAAATGTGTACAAAAAGCTTCGTCGTATCCGGTTGCATGTGGCTTGCAGAAACTAGAATCACGGAGTTGTACAGGCAAATGAGGTCCTTGACCTGCTGGGTGCATGTGGACAGCACTCAGTTGCATGCACTTGTCATTTTTCTCGCTTGTTTTACATGTTGTGCAAGCTAGTTGTACTGCATAGGACCCGTCTACATGTATGTACAATGTCACTGCTTTTGACATGCCACATGCAAATACAGTATGTGTGTTCAGTTATCCGGTTCCCTCGCCTATCCGGATATTTTTGTGGAAAACAGATGTGTGCGGTTAAGCGAGGTCTGACTGTACATTTTTCAATTCTCCTATTTTTTTTTCAGGCATAACCTGGGATTCGAACCCACACTATCGCCCTACATGCATTCCCCCATAAACTTTGCATTCATACTCATTCTTCCAAGTTGCGTATATAATACAACCCAACAGTACGCTTGTACGTGAAATATAAACCGACATACAAACCGAGGCGAAGCCGAGGTTTGTATGATGGTTTATATTTCACGTACAAGCGTACTAGTGGGATGTATTATACTTACTAGTATGCTGGCCTTCATACAAACTGACAGTCAACTTCTTCCTGTTTCTATGGTGGCGGTCTATATGGGGTTTGTATGGGGTTTGTATGAGGTTTATATGCCCAGTATAAGCCGCCAGCATGATGGGCAAGTTGACTGGAAGTTTGTATGAAAGGTCAGCATAATTCACGTTATCATCTTGCGTTTGAAAGCCCTATTTTAATATTTCGGCCAGCTGTATGTGGCCAGCTGTGTTTGATGGTACGGTACGGGACAGATACGGGATAGCGCCAGGCGTGACACAGACACACAAACAAACACTGAATTAAAGCTGTGTGGACCCTGGCTAGCGCCAGACGTTACTGACGTAACGTCTTCTGCATAGCTACGGGAATAATACAATATTTGCCTGCTCCGTTGTGGGTTCATACATGACTTAATAATATCCGGCTGGCATGGTATAATAACCTTTTTTTTCATATTTACAATGGCCATTTTCCTCAAATGGTTCTTCACTTTCTGTATCACATTTCGTGGATTGAACAATAAAGATGACGACGGACTAGCTACATGTACATGCAGTACTCCTAAGCATGACAAGCAAGGAATACATCAAACAGATTCGTGAATGCCAAGTTTCAGAGTGTGCAACTCCGCTGCTGGTCAGACCCATAGGGGATTCTTAGATGGTGTCAAGGCTTCCAGTGACCTTTTAAGCCATGACGTACAGCTTCATACAAGATCTGCATAGCGCAGCTGCATGTAGCTACTCCAGCTGGTTCTGCACCTAAGGAATTTACTTTTTCCCTTGCAGAGGAGGTTTTTGCCACCAGTTTAAGAAAATACAGGCGACCATACATGGTGTTGCAATAAGAATGAAAGAATTTTTTCCAAATTGCGAACCTCACATCTGTACGTGATGACTATTGATCTCCGGAAAAGTTCACATGAACAAAAATTCAGCCGTGGGGAGTGGGGCTGCACACTCTGGTTTACCGTAATTCCGCGCATATAAGCCCATGGGCTTATAAGTAATGCAGTTTGGGGATCAAATATCCAGTAGAACATGTTCGTTTTTTAGCCCATGGGCCAATATTCGAATTTTGAAGGTTCATGAAAAAGTACAAGTCCGTGGCCATAGTGGGTCTACCATACTCTACTGGTAAACTGCACTGACCTGCTGTACCATGGTAGGAAGCGTCCATATTGTGAAAAATTCTACTTTTTATTAGCCCATGGGCTTATAAACGGAGGTGGGCTTATATGAGCGGAATTACGGTACAGGTGGAATCCTGATAATTCGAATATGGCTTAATTCGAACATACCGCTTAATTAGAAGTTTTTCCAGGACCGATTTCTGTCAACACGATTCCCACATAAATTTTTCTGATAATTCGAACCTCGAACCAGACATGTCCGGTTAATTCGAAGTTCCACGGATTCCACTTACATAGAAAATTTGTGAGATTTGTGCTGATAATTCGAAGTTAGCAAAGTGTAATTCGAAGTTCACTGTACACTGTACTGGTCAGTTCAGTTTGCATGAGCAGGCTGTGCCGGTCAGTTCAGTATCCGTGAAATCTGTGTCTAAGGTCCATAGCTCAACTCTGCGTGACCATGAGAGCATTTTGATATACATATTGTGTTGTGGGTTCATGTTTGGATAATTAGAATGTCCGGCTAATTTAAAGTTTTTTCCTGGCATTTCGAGGTTCAAATTATCAGGATTCCACCTGTATACACTCTTGGTGTCTTTGGAATGTATCTACGAAATGGCAGAGCATCCCGGGGTGGTTGTTACAGATGCATTGCACAACAAATATCGAGGAAATACATACATGTACATATGGCAACGGCATTGAGATAGGCAGCATATTTCATTTGTGTGCTTATAGAGGTCTTACCATGGTCATGGCCATACACAACCATGTCAATGTCCGTGAACCAAGCCGCCATTTCACCATAGCGCTCAATGTGCTCCGAAACACCATGGCTTAGGTAGACAATCCCTTTGGGAGTACTGACAATAGCAAACAACATCCATGCACACGCGCGCGCGCGCACACACACACACACAAACATGCATGCACACGCACGCGTGCGCACATACACACACACGCACACAGATGCTCGCACACACACGCAAGCGAGCGCTCCTATAAAGTGGAATTCTAATGGAATTGTGTCCGTGAATAATTAATTGGAACCTATCGAATAATTGTATAGCCGGTGGTAACGCGGATTTGCGAACTTTCCTTTTTTCTATCGAAAAAATGTGACTAGGGTACTGTACAATGCATTACCATGATTACATGGAGCTTGAAAGACGTCTACGTGACTGGTAGAATCATGTGACTGGTGCTAAAATACAGAGAGGGGTGTGAAATGGGCCATCATGTCACCTCGTGAGTGGATCCACCCTCAAACTACATGTACATTACTACTACCAGTATGCAGGATCTACCATGAGCTAGCTTATCATTCTACTCACGAGCAGGAGTCTGACTTCCAAGCGCGAGTGTAAAGCCTCTTTCCAGCTGCACTGGTAACGTGGGACACCGTTGAGTAGTCCACAGCAGGAAAGATTTGGCTTTGCCCCATGATGAGACACGAGAGCAGATGCGAATACACCGACTTTCTTTCGTATTGTGTATCTGTAGATGTACTGAATTGAAGGCAACGTTTGGCTAGCTTGACAAACCAAGTAAAGACTGACGTCGTGACGATGTTTGAACAAACTTCTTGTCTTTTGTTTTGATTTGAAAAGTATTTTTTTACTGTTCCCGCGTTTTAAATTCTTTATTTATTTTTTACATTTTTATGCACTTTTCAGTTCTCAAGCTAGCGCATAGCTAGCTAGCTAAGGGCATGTTCGATTGGTAAGGATCGGGATCGGGATCCAGATCTCAGATCCCTCGGATCCTTCAGATTCAACTGAACACTTTATCTTGGACCTTGACTGTTGCCATGTTGAAAATGGCGCTCACAAGGCACCCAAAAGGGTGAACGTCGTACTCATCGCGTGCGTCGTACAAAAAGTCAACAAGCTCTATCTCCATCCACGTGTGCGTACCACAATGTGTACAAAAATGATTTTTACCCGCCATATACGCACAAAGGTCACATTTGGATCCGTTGGATCCGGTCAACCCTGCTCCCCGAGCGAGGTGGGTTGACCGGATCCAAATCCGAAGGATCCGGATCCGGATTCGACCAATCGAAAGGGTGCGAATCCAGTGGATCCGGTGGATCGGGATCCCGATCCTACCAATCGAACATGCCCTAAGGGCCTGGTCAGACTGCGGCAAAATCGAAATAATCCTAGGATTATAATCCGAATCTCCATAGTAACTTGCCGCTTGAGCGGCAAAAGCGAGAGTTGACGCTCCAAAAAAAAAGCAAGAACGGACCACGCTTTTCCGCTCCAAACAGGATTTGACGCTGATACGCCATTGACGCTGATAATCACTGATTTTTTCATCTCGATATCGAGGAGCTAATTGGCCACGGACAACAACAAAACTCATAAGGATGGCTGCAAGGATTGCACTGAAGGTGTTGGCGATCCCCAAGGTGAAGGAATTTGACGTCGTTCGTGGAGATTACCACTTGACGCTCGAAATGAAGTTTGAATTTTCACTCTCCCCACATGTGTAGTGTGATCGCGATTCAAATTCTGGACGCTGTTCTGTTTTCGTCAGACAACCAAAATTTGCCGCAGTCTGACCAGGCCCTAAGCTAGATAGCTAGCTGCACAGCTATTATCTGATTATGTGCATGCGCCATAAATATCGATCCCATGAACTTGGCATTGGTAAAAATTATTATCGCGATTTGGCTCAAATCTGCAATTTTCTGCAAATATTTCCGCGAATTCCTGGCAAGTTCCGCATCTTGCCACACTTTTCGTTGTTTTCTGCCGCAATTTCTTGCGCAAGTTTTCGATTTGTCCGCAAATTCCCACAGGGACAGCCTGATGAGTTCAAGTAATATGCTGCAGTTGAGTTTGAGAGTTCTGAAGAAATGGTCTTACAGTAATACCAAGAGTCCATAACCAGTTTATGGACTCTTGGTATTACCACGGAATCAGTTACATTTGAGTTACTAGTTAAAAGTGTACGTAGTCAACTGCGTTTCAGGCCACAACTCGCTATACTAGTATCTGTCTCCGTTACCATGATCAGACAGACAAGCCTGTCTGATTACAAGTGCAAGGAGAATGCAGCCAGATGCTTTTCGCACCGACAATAGCAAATGGTTTGTCTTGGTCTTGAAAGGTGTGATGTATGTTTGATACTCATACTTGAACAATATACAAATACATGTACGTACAAGAAGCCAATAAAGAAAAATAATAATACTGCACTCCATGTATATGTATGAGCACATGACCGAATTGGAAACGAATCCCTCAATAAAACTCGGATGGTGAGCATATAGTAATATAATGTTCAATGTTGACAATATTCTCTAGAGTACAGTGTAAAGAAATCTAGCTCCAGAGCTAAAACACATAAATCTACGTCTATCTTGAAATTGATGTTGTGCCTACCCTCAAAGGAATCTAGAATCTAGAATCACGGCCAATGAAAGCTAGCCGGAGTGAAGAATACAGTGCAGCACAGCACAGGTCAGCACCAGCATCGCGGTGAGAATAATATCGCACTGGTCAACACCAGCATCACGGCGAGAATAATATCGCACTGGACATTAACCCGCGACGCAACGGAGCACGAAGCAGGGAAATCAGCAGCAAGCGTCTGTATAGCAATAGCCTTGTTACGGCGAGAACCCCATTGAAGACAGGGACAGTACACAATAGTAGGCACAATCAGCCATGTGTTCCGTCTGCAGTTATCCACATGGGTCTGCTCAGCTGCTGACAACTAATTACTTTCAGGAAAAGAGCCAACCAGGAAAGTACATGCTAGCACACCAGGTAGAGGGAAACATTGGAGCTTTTGCACGGAAACATCCTTTCACCTTGCATATGCATACGTATGGTCTCTTACAAAGCATCCGCTTCATGTGGTTGACGTTTGAGCATTGAACCGTTCCAGCCTCTCTTTCACCCACGCTACAACCGCCTCTTGTACATCTTCTTTCATGCCATCTGGTTCCATATGTAATTCATGATAACCGCCTTCATATTCCTGCCAACAGCAACAGCAGCAGCAGCAGCAGCAGTGGCGGCAACACAGAAAACACAGACAAAATCTTACAAGTTACAACCCACGCAGCAGCAAGTAAATACTAAATACTCATAGGCATGCTACGCACCATGATCGTTGCATGGAATGCTACAATGGATACCCCACAGAATACATTCATGCATGCACCCACAGTGACAGAATACATCCATGTTAGGAGTTCAAAACAAGGGAGGAAATTGTACTGCAGGATGCTCCGTAAACTGTCACAACATTACTGCATATAACACTAAGGTTCAATTGAGCCTGGTCAAAATGACTATACCTTCAAGATTTTATCTTCACTGCCAATAGCTGCCATTAGCTGACGCGAGCCTTCAATCAGGCACAGGCGATCAGCAGTACCATGGAACACCAGTATTGGTGTAGTGAATGACTTGTGCAGCTGCTCAGCCTCCTCTTGTGCACGCAGGGTGTTAACAGCCCATGCGGCCTTCATTCCGCCTTGCCAAAAGTAGGGATCGTTGCGGTTGGTTTCAACCTAGTTAGCATAACATTAAAAATCGGAACGAGACAGAAGGGTTGACAACTTGACAGCCCTCATAGACAGAAGCAGTGTGTCTGCTGAGATCATGAAGATATACAATTATGTACAATCATGAAAATATACAATTATGTACTTGTACATGTACATATAGATCAAACCGAATGGTGTTGAAGAACCCGATGTAAAGATGCACTACTTTACGCCAATATGAGTTCTACACAGGCACAGTACGATCAAGGTAGCAGGGTGTATACTATGGCCTGGTTCACCGGTGGACAGACCCATTACAAGTATACAACTTGCTCATGATCAGCAGTAGACCCGGGTGCTCGAATGAGACACAGGGTACCAAAACAGAAACAGCTTGAAATTGTACCTAAACTTATTCCGATTTCGTTTAGTTTTCACAAATACCATCAACATACGGCCCGCTAACGGTATGCCAAATTTCAGCTCCGCCCGGTGAGCGGTTTTTGAAATACTCGCGACCCACTTTTTGTTGGGTCCTTGATTCGAGGATGTGGGTCTACGTTACGGTGCTGCCAAAGACCTGCTGAATCTGCGGCTCCGCTGACCATCTTGCTCTCAAAAACGAAGTAGTAAGTTACTACTCCCTGCCCTCAACTGCCATATCAAGCGTAGACGATGGTAGACCCGTGTGCTTGAATCGGAGACGATCTGACGAGTTCGCTGTTTCTGACTCGAGCACCCAATTTTCAAATAAAAAATCCGAAGGAAATACGACAATTTTACTGCGTACTGTAGGCTGTGTTGTAGCGCACCCAGGTTCTGAATTCCTGCTGGGTGGGCCAAGCCAGACTCTCTTCCCTGTTCTATCGCCTCTCCAAAAGTATATTCTGACATTGTTGAGATTTACAGATGAGAAATTTCACACCTGTCAAATCGTTTCTGATTCGAGCACCCGGGTCTACTCATGAAAGAGTAATGATCCAGCGATCCCCTCTCAATCACATGCACAGGCGCACCTAGATCACGTGCAACTTACCACTGATGGATCACGACAGACAAACTCTTCCGGTAGCTTTCCCACTTCCAGTTGAGGCGTAACTCCACCTGCAACTTTTGCCATGAATATCTGCGCTCATGGCAGCCGAGAAAGACAGAAAAACAGAAAGACCGACATAGACACACACACAGGCACATAGCCAGCAATGTACAACGTTAATTTTAACATCGCCTTGGTACCAAAGCTAGAGTAGCGACGAAAGAGCTACATGAATAATACAAACAGAATGGTGGCGCCAACCAAACCAACCTTGAACGGAGTAGCAACATCTGGATCACCGATCAGGGCAGGAGCACTCAGCAAGACAAAGTCCACGAGGTCTGTGTGTTGAGCAGCGGTCAGGAACGCAATCAGCCCACCCTGGATCAAGCAACAACATGAGACACGATTGCAATGAAGCGAGCTTGTACCCAAATTAAGGATCCCTGCTTGGCGATAAACACTAAGATAACAGACAGTACTGGGAGTAAAACAGTGCCAGTAGGCTAGTCACGCATGCCATGGTGCAGCGTGTCATACTCTGATGATGATACTCACCATCGAGTGGCCAAGAAGGAACAGCGGCAGGCCGGGATGCTGCTCACGTACTTCACGGAGTCTCTGCGCCACATCGGTGACATACTCTCCAAACTCATTCACATGAACACGGTCTCCTTCACTTCTGCCATGGCCAACTAAGAACACACCAAGCCAAGAAGCACCAAAGCAAGCCAACATTGTACGTATGCTGAGGCATTCCTCAAATGTCAAAAACAAGTATTGTTCCGCAATCTAGCTACATGTACACGCAGCATTACCAACATGACAAGCAAGGAATACATCAAACAGATTCGTGAATGCCAAGTTTGTTTTTCACTGGGCCGACATGAAGTCTGTCACATAGTGAAACTCCCTGAGTACTCATGCAGTTCATCAAGCGAATATAGTAGTTCTGGTGCAGGCAGGACCGAGCACATTCTGTGTTTTTTCGGTCACGCCTTATCGACTTACAGTCAACTTTGCGTATAACGACACTCGGCCAGGCATCAGAAAAGTGTCCTTGTTCGCGAAGCGTCGTTACACCCGAAGTCTCATTATATGTATACAGGTAGAATGGACTTTGCTATGGGCATGGAAATTCTGTCGTTATTCGCGAATTGTCGTTATATCCGCAGTCGTTATTAGCGAAGTTGACTGTATCGACCACTGCAACAAGAGACCAGCTGCACTGCCTTTAGACAGGACACCTACCGGTAGCCCTGCCTTCCAGGGTTCTTTCTGAATTACCATCAAGTGAATGTAAACTAGAGTGTGCAATTCCGCTGCTGGTCAGACCCATGGGGGATTTTTAGATGTTGTCAAGGTTTCCAGTGACCTTTTAAATTTAAGCCATGACGTACAGCTTCATACAAGATCTGCATAACGCAGCTGCATGTAGCTTCGCCTGGTTTTGCACCTACAAGTTTTTTTGTAAGAAAACTTACTTTTTCCCTGGCGGAGTGGGGTTTTGCGACCAGTTTTAGAAAATACAGGCGTCAGTACACGGCATTGCAATAGGAATGAATGATTTTTTTACAAGTTGTGAACCTCACATCTGTACGTGATGACTATTGATCTCCGGAAAAGTTCACATGAACAAAATTTCGGCCGTGGGTTAAACTGAGCGGGGCTGCACACTCTGGTTTATACACTCTTGATATCATTGGAGTTTGTTTACGAAATGACAGAGCATCCCGGGGTGGTTGTTACAGGTGCATTGCACTACAAATAGCGAGGAAATACATACATGAACGTATGGCAACGGCATTGAGATAGGTAGCATATTTCATTTGTGTGCTTATAGAGGTCTTACCATGGTCATGGCCATACACGACCATGTCAATGTCCGTGAACCAAGCCGCCATTTCGCCATAACGCTCAATGTGCTCCGACACACCATGGCTTAGGTAGACAATCCCTTTGGGAGTACTGACAATAGCATACCACATACACACATGCACAATCGCACGCACACACACACACACACATACACAGACAGACACAGACAGATGCTCGCACACACACGCAAGCGAGCGCTCCTATGTGGAATTCTAATGGAATTGTGTCCGTAAATAATTGGAACCTATCGAATAAATGTGACTATTATAAGGTACTGTACATGCATTTATACCATGATTTAATACATGGAGCTTGAAAGGTGTCTATGTACTGTACTCATGACTGGTAGAATAATTATTAATGGTGCTAAAATACAGAGAGCTAGAGGGGTATGACATGGGCCATCATGTCACCTCGTGAGTGGATCCACCCTCAAACTACATGTACATTACTACTACCAGTATGCAGGATCTACCATGTGCTAGCTGATCATTCTACTCACGAGCAGGAGTCTGACTTCCAAGCGCGAGTGTAAAGCCTCTTCCCAGCTGCACTGGTGACATGGGACACCGTTGAGTAGTCCACAGCAGGAAAGATTTGGCTTTGCCCCATGATGAGAAACGAAAGCAGACGCGAATACACCAACTTTCTTTCGTATTGTATCTGTAGATGTACTGAAGGCAACGTTTGGCTAGCTTGACAAACCAAGATGATCATCTATCGACGATGTTTGATTTGAACAAACTATTACTTGTCTTTTGAGTTTTGTTTTGATTTGAAAGCAATTATGTCGAGGTCAAAAAATTAGTACTTTGGACTCCGAATTCCGAAAGCGGCCAAGCAGGAAGTCCAAAAGTACTAATTTTTTAACCTCTTGCATGATATTTTTTGCATCTCGCAAATTCGATCGTCAAGAACATTTTTTCCTGACCAAAGAATTAGAAGCCTGTTGAGTTGTGGACTTTTGGGATTTTGAAGCGAGTGTAGAGATTGTAGCACTTCTTGCCGTGTTCTTCATCTTTGGTCGCAGAGCAGGACGTCATGTCGGAGAGATACAGCTTCAGTTTAACGACATTTAGGTGATTAGAGTTGGCGCGCAGCTATTCTGGGATGAAATCGAATTCGTTGATTTGAAACGAATGATTGATTGTGTTTTCTCTTGCACAGTCCTTCTGGAAAGCTAGTTCAAATTGAGTATGCATTAGCCGCGGTCAGCGGGGGCCAGCCGTCAATTGGCATTAAAGGTAGGGTGCCTGACTGAACATGATTGTTCACTTCTTCCACTTCACCCTCGTAAAAGAATTGGGAATATATTCTACACATTTGATTCTCCCCACGAATATCGTGAATGAAGATGTGAGCAATCATTATTACTATTAGCCGAGAGGTACAAGTGAGTGAACATAGGTTTGCAGATAGTGTAACAGAGGTGGAGCTGCGGAGTCTGCACTTATTGTAGGTTGCTGTGTTTGAATATAAGATTCAAATTTATCTGGGTCCATCAAGGCATTCTCAGCTTCCATTCCCATCATTGGCATGAACACAGTTTCTTTTTGGTGACGCATGCAGAACCCAGATTGACATTGACCATGGTGACAGGTCCCAGGAAGGGAGCAAGGTCTTTATCTACAGTACAGGGACCATCCATCTTTGTGTTGGGTGTATTTTAGTTCCCTGCACAAGTGTGCGACGTGCTTGAGTAACTGTACTAAGGCTGTGTTTACATGAAGCGTTTCAACCCGGGTTGAGTTCGACCCGGGTCAGATTTCAACCCGCCATGTGCATAAAATGAATGGCGCGTTTACATGACGCATTGCGCTTGACCCGGGTTGAAATTTCGCCCCGGGTTGATTTCAACCCTCCCCCCCAAGGGGAGGGTTGAAATCAACCCGGGTCAAGAAAATCGTACAAACGTACTTCGTATCTTGCGCCAGGTTTGAACAGCACTGCAGATGCAAATTTCGCGCGAACGGATTCACGTGACCATACAGGACTGTAGAAGTGGACTTTTGGCAGCATATCAGTATTTGACCCGGGTCAACTGTCTTCATGTAAACGCTCACCTCTTTTGTCTGTCGTACAGACTTTCAACCCGGGCTGAACTCGACCCGGGTTGAAACTTCTCATGTAAACACAGCCTAACTGAAGGATAGGCTTTACATTTTGTTTACACTTGTTCTGTTGTGTGTGGATGTGGCTGTGCTGTGCTGTGTGGTTGTGTGCATGCGTACCTTTCCCATGTGCGTGTTCATGTCTATGTGCTGCTGTAGCTACTAATGGCGTGGTCCTAGCCGTAGATAAGAAACAGCAGTCATTCTTGTATGACACATCAAGCCTTAGCAAGGTTAGTATAGCGTGACAGAGGCTATGCATTTATGTCACTATTGGAAGGTTTTGTGTGGAGGGCATCGCAAGGACTTGTTTGCTGCTCAATACGAAGCATAATAATTATCATGATATGGTCATTTGTAATGTTGCATGCATATGCAATGGTGTCATTTGTGTGACTACATTTCTCAGGATTTGCAACAAGGAAATTCCTGTTCCATGCAGTCGCAAGACCGCTGTCACAGAAGTTGACCAATGTTCAACGTTTGCGACTTATGACCTGTGGCGCACATCAATGGAGCGCAGTTTGAACTGTTTCTTTTATACGCTGGGTGTGCATGCACGTGTATTACAATGCGCTGTGTATGAACGTCGCAGAAATCAAAACGATTGTGAGTCGCATGTCGCAACTCACCACAAGTGTTGCGTCTTGCAGATTGCAGAAAGTGATGTTCTGAATTACGTTGTGTGGAATTGTTTTCTTTGCTCCTGTTTTACTTCGTAGATTGAGCGTGTCACTGATAACATCGGTATGGTGTTCAGTGGAATGACAGCTGACTACAGGTAGGGCTGGGATAGGCGCCTGGATATGGCTCAGTATGGTTTTACTACTGGTATATTATACAGTCAAATCTGCCGTTAGCGACCTCTGCTGTAGGCGACCATCTACCGTTAGCGACCGATTTTCCGTGCACCGACGGTTTCACATACAAACTGATCTGTCCAGAGCGACCATCTGCTGTGCGCGACTAGCGACCGCGATTTCATGCACGGTGGCTGCATTCAAATCTGCTGTAAGCGACCGCGACCCAGGTTCAGTAAGGTGCGAAACTGTACTTGCCAGTGCTTTGTCAACTGCAAAGTGTGAAAATGCACTGTCTTGCAAGTGCGATCGACTGGCGCCTGGCCTGTACTGAGGCTGTGATGTAGCTCTCAAGTCCAGGCAGTGTCGATCTACTGCCGTGTCGCATACGCGTACTATACGGGTATGGTCGTCGTTGAATATCCAATAAAATGATATTAAAAATCACATTATTCTCGTCGATTTGAGTACATGGAAGCATATACCTGGTATGCCGGATCTACCATACATCTGCCGTAAGAGACCATCTGCCGTAAGCGACCGCTTTTTCTTTCACCAAGGGGCGGTCGCTTACAACAGATTTGACTGTATGTGTGTGTGTGTGTGTGTGTGTGTGTGTGTGTGTTCCTGGTGACTTCCTACCCATGATAGCCATGCTGTATGTCCACTGGTGTGCTGCGGCCTGCCGTCTTTTTCTGCCGTGCTAACTCTCGCATCGTGTTGGTCTCTCTTGAAACTTTCAGATTGCTGCTGAAGCAGGCACGCAAGGTTGCGCAGCGCTACTTTCTCGTCTACAAGGAGTCCATCCCGTGCACCATGTTAGTACAGGACGTCGCCAAGGTCATGCAGGAATACACTCAGCAAGGGTAAGCCTGCCTACTGCCGTTTGCTGTAAAGCGATAGACTTTCGTGCTGCGCAAATTTTGCGTTTTCAAGGATTACGATGGTTCATGGTATGAAAATTAGCTCTTCAGTTGGACCATGCATTGTGACGATTGTCCACACTCCATGTACAGAGCAGTTTGCGGTGCTATTATATTTGCGAATGTGTGATGATGATCTCTAGCGGAAATTTCCCACTTTACAGTGGACGTGTTCATTGCGTGTGGTGTGAGAACAGTGTGTTTGGAAGGGTGCTTGAGCATCATAGCGCTATGCATTCGTCCCTTTTGATATAGTGTATTGAGGATGCTGCTATGTGTGCTGGCAAGAGTACATAACCCCCCCCCCCCCCCAGAGTGCGCAAGTTCACTTATCAGATCTGGGACGGCGAAATCCGTGTTGCACGTCATAATAATGACATCATGAGTAGGGGGAGTGTGGACGTGGTGCATGGCGTCGATGGAATGAGGCAAGTCCGACCCAAAAAATGACGTACATCACGGATTACGCCGTCCCACAACCCCATCCCAGTTGCGCACTGCGAGCATCCGGCTGATGGTGTTTGTTCATGACTTTGTGGACCATCAATCCTGTTGAGAAATTATTCTGATGTCCTTATGTAGAGGACGGTGGCAGACTGGCAGGTTTTGCAATTTTTGCTGAAGAGCTTTTATTAAAAAATAAGTAAAATAAAAAGCACCTCGCTGTCTACATGTCATACACTTAGACAAGGCGAGCTGAAAGTCTGGGTTGCTGCAAAGTAGGCACTATTTAGGCAGTGATACAATTATTTTCACACTGCTTTAGTTCTGTGAATGTGTTTCTTTGGGATCATGATTCAGTGTGTCACTGTAGTCGGAGAACAGACGTTGCCGAGACACCCACACTTCAACTCTTCAAGTACATGTTGTGAGGGACCTCCGGTGCAAAAAAAACGAAACAAAAATACAGTAAAACCTGTCAAGGCGACCACCTGCCCAAGAGGACCACCAGAACCGAGGGGTGTTATTTCCAGTCAAACGACCCTGGCTAAGAAGACCACCTGAACAAGGGGACCGCATGTGTAGGGTCCCTCGAGTGGTCAGCTTAGACAGGTTCCACTGGTATTGCGAATTCAAATAAAAAGAACAACAACAACTGTACTTTAGGGTCCGTAGACTTCTAGATGTATGGAAACACTATACCATGTATCTGAGGCGAGCATTCGTCAAGCTTCACTCCTGGACAGTGACACAACAGTCTAGCAGCTGAATGTGTGTGGTCTGGTGTTCTCTGAAAAATGAAACTGCATCCTGTAACTTTTCTCTCACATTTCAAATGCACCTTATTTCTGTAGTGAACATTGACAACAAATTCCGTGCTGGTGTGCCTTTCTTGTGCGATATACAGCGGTGTTCGGCCATTTGGTGTATCGCTTTTGATTGCGGGACTGGATCAGGGTACACCTATGCTCTACCAGTGTGATCCTTCTGTAAGTAACTGGTTGTTGTATGTACATGTGTGTGCGGTGCTGTGCTGTGTGGTGCTGTGTATATTGGTTTGTTTTCTTGCGGCAACCTGTCTTTGCTTGCACCTCATCAAGCCTCTCTGTGTCTATGTCGAGACTTGAGGAGTCTTCCTGTCTGTTCCAGTTGGTCAGGCTTTTTTCTTCTCACCACCTCATTTCTAACTTATAAGAGAGGTGAAAATGATGAGAAGAGACAGACACACACACACACACACACACACACACACAGAGAGAGAGAGAGAGAGAGAGAGAGAGAGAGAGAGAGAGAGAGAGAGAGAGAGAGAGAGAGAGAGAGAGAGAGAGAGAGAGGAGGGAGGGAGGGAGGGAGGGAGAGAGAGAGAGAGAGAGACTCTGTCTGTCTGTGTCTGTGTGTCTTTCTCGCATGTCTCATAGTGTAATGCGTGTAACTGTCTGGGCTATCCTTTTCTTTTCTTTTTTGAAAAGGACCAAATTTGAATTTGCTTGTGTCTGTGTGTTTCCATCGTTTAGGGTGCTTTCTTTGCTTGGAAAGCAACGGCAATGGGCAAGAACTGCAACAGTGGAAAGACTTTCCTTGAGAAGAGGTCAGGCAATATAAGTTACATTTTATATTCGTTTGCATCAACCCAGCAAGCTGCTGCTAAAGAACCCTAAGCTCCAGTGTCTGCCTTTTACTTGCTCCGTCCTTATTCTTGAGCACGGTGTATACTTGTGACTTTGCACACGGGAAAACACCTCACACTCTCGTCACGGCGAAGACAGTTGAACGCATTTTCGCGCTCTCTTGTAGTGCTTTGGTGAGTCTGATCTGCTCACCTCCCACCGCTTTAGGAGCTGCATCTGCGCCTTGATCCTTGAAGGGTGGTGGCGTTCCTACGGATGCGGAAAACTAACGTTACTTGGCCTCTAGCCGAGTCTCACGCGAACCGTGATTTTTTTGGAATGCGAAGTGAAGCGTGAATTGGGCCTTCCTTGAGCCCAATGTCTCTTTCTGGAGCAAGACGTTTTTATGTTGCTGATTCCCAGTGGCCATGTGAATGACCTGAATCTTATCCCGCATGTGTATATGTACTTCGAAGTAGGAATGTGATGTGCAATTATGACAGGTGATATGTATTTGTTGTCATCGGTGATGATCTGTTCACCTCAGGTATAGCGACGAACTGGAACTGGAGGATGCCATCCATACAGCAATTCTTACACTGAAGGTGAGGGGCGGAAGTTTGATATGATATGCCTCTCGTAACTCTCTCGTTAAAAGCGTTCAAGTAGTAACGTTAACCGCTGCCCCATTGTCAGCTTCATGCGTGCTATTCATCAATAAACATCTGATGGTGGTTCTGCTGTGTGTAACATATGCTTGCAGGAAAGCTTTGAAGGCCAGATGACTGAGGAGAACATTGAGGTCGGTATCGTAAACGCTGATGGCTTCCGTCGCCTAACCACGGCCGAGGTAAAAGACTACCTTGCCCTGGTCTTGCAATAGGCACTCCCACCAACCAGCGCCACCACTGCTCCATCGCTACAACCATCATCATCAGTAGCAGCCATGGTGGCGGCAACATTGGCTTGCTGTTATTGTTCCTGTCCATAGCTCATGCTCCTCTCATTCCCACTCTGTACATAGCTTCATTTTTTTATTGCTGTTCTTTTTGCTTGTAAAGTTTTTACTGTATGCAGTATGTATGTTATGATCATTGCCTATATCTTGCATACTGACTTATGGTATGCTGGCAGTGTTCAATGCTTTTCGAAATAATGCACCAAACTCTAGATTGTGCACGGTAAATGTGTACTTCAAAGTAGCCCCGTGAAGTGCCTGTATGCTAGCCAGAGTTTGTGCGGGCTCTTGCTGCTATTGCTCATGGCCTTCATGTATATTGTTGATTTATGCGGTAAATAAAAGATGATCTGGAAACAAGGTACACGAAGCCACTCGAACAAGTACAATACTCTATAGAGGATGGGTACAAAGACAGATTGTGTTCTACGCGATAACACGATTATCTGTTGCCCAAGTCTTGTGCAAGTCCTTTTCGACGATTGTGTTCGGTGACAGAGTATAAAAGCGAATTTTTGTTTGATTTCATCCACCTTCCAAGGCTGTTTAGTGTTACAAGCAACTTCAGAGAACATCATGTACAACAAACTTCAGCTGTTTGCTGGGATAATCAACACCGGACTTTGTAGCATTTTCCCACTGTTTCATTGACAAGATTTATCCAATAGGTTTTACCATGTCTGCTTTTTAAATTTACCACACTACAGTCTACACAGCTAAAAAAAACCTTGTCTGACAAGTTAGTTGGAGAGCTCAGATTCAGTCAGAGAGTTGTTCCCGTTGTGATTCAAAATGCATGACTATACACTACTTACAAGTACCAGGGATTCGTTAAAAAAATACCGTTTTAAAACAGCTTCCTGCTACTTATCATTGTTGTGCAGGGGAGGGAAAACAGAAGAGAAAACAACATTTCTTCCCATAATCGTTAAAACGTTGAACTCTGTTATGCAAAAGTATCACATCCAAATGGCAATGTATAATAATACGGTTCTTTCATGCATGCGTGGTCAGTCGCTAATCCAGCCACTACCATGTATGCTATTTCATTATGTCAAGAACTATAATAGCTGCTCATTGTCATGGCTTTAGAGAGAAAAAAGTGATACTTTGTTACAGAATTCAACACGAGTATAGTGGCTCAAGCTCAGTATTGTTACATAACGTTATTCCATGCACGCACATGATTATGTCTATACAGTTGAGAGAGGGCAAGAAAGGGAGTGCGAGAGTGAGTGTGACAGACGGCAAGAGAATGGTTCATCTTCTGTGGTATCCGCTAAGAATCCGGCTTGAAGTCCAGCCTCCAGTTGATCGCCGAATCACGTCTCTGTTACTATCGCCGCCAGCTCAGGGTCATGCTGGCAAGGCCGGGCCAGTCAGTTTCACGGTCTTGTGACGACAGCAACATGCCTACACCGCACCTTATGCGGTACCTGTGCAGCGAGGAATACAATGCAAACATGTCGTCAGAACCGGCGTGTACAGACGTGATCCTTAACTGCTGCTGTGTCTGTCAGTCAAACCAACCCCACGATGGATGTTGCCTGGTGATTCCTGTGTCCACTGTTGTGTTGTACGTCACTGTAAGACCGCATACCCCCCACAGATCGTGAACTTTTTTAAATTGACGAAGGCACAGGGCTATTGCTTACCGGGCGGTCTTTTATGGCACTTTCCAGCGATTTTCACTCCTCCACGGATGCACTGGGGCAGGCAGAACGTCCTCCCACTGCTGAGATTGTAGCATATAGAGTAGTGAGGGTCACCACAGGGCCGCTCCACAGCGCACTTGTCATCTGCAGACACACACACACACACGGCGGGAGGTGTAGGAATCAGTTCCTTGGCCAAGACCATGATGATGCAGCCACATGGTGCTGCAATCAATAACCATTCCGCATGCATTTCATTAGCCGCATGCATTTCACTAGCCGCATGCATTTCACTAGCCGCATGCTGATTTACTCCAGTGAGTACTAGCAATCTTGCTGTAAACAGTCTAACTTTTGCACAGATGTGTACGGTCATATTTGGGGCAAAGTACATAACCAATCTTGTCGGTGTGTATGTTCTACGGCAAGTAACACTAGTTTGTAAAAGTGAACTGAATTCCTGGCAAACTTACAAGTGAGGCATTCTGGACAGCACTTGTTTGCCGGAGTGTGGACACGTTGGCATGACGATGGCACCGGGGGACACTGGTTTCTCACCGATGGGCAGTGATTACGTCCACGCTGCAATCGAGACATGTACAGGGAAAGCAAAGCCAGTATTCAGTAACGGTTATACTAAGTAACTAGTAGCCAGTGCAGAGTCACGTCAACAGTACGGTACAGTACTATGGCACTGGTGTGCAGGGACATTGCGTGGGAGCCGCTGCTCGTTTTCGGCACATCCCCCTAACAATTTTAAAACCGTTTCCCCAGTACTCGGGCCCATGCAGCAACATGCTTTAAAAGGAACGCCAAGCAGCAGATAGATATACGTACCATACAGAAGCAGTGCGGATTGCATGGGTTCTGGATGACGCGCGGGATAGTGGAGCCGTTGAAGTAGTGCTGGCCATTGAGTCGACAGCCGTTAGGGTCGTGTTGAGCCACTGAGCAGTGAGCAAACGCAAATGCACACATGCACAAAGTACACCAGGTGGTGAAAACAAGTTCATTACTTTTATCTGTGAGTGAAATTCATTACTAAAAGCTCTCAAAACGACAGCCTCATTGTATAGATATTATCCATACCACCATGGCGCCTGTTTAACGGCCCGGATAACCTAGGGCACCTTGATATTGATAACTGTTACAAGAATCACGCTATCTACTTGGGGTTACATCACAGGGCACCTTGCAGTGCCAGCGTCAATTCTCAGCATGTGACTCGCGGCGACTGTACTAACAGAACACTAGACACCGGTATTGAGAGCTTACGCATTTTGGTGCAGTATGGGCAGCATTCTCCGTGTGCTGGGTCGGCCTCGGCCAGCCTCATGCGGTGTCCGGTACATCCGGGCCTTGTGCCGCATGTCATCTGCTGACAGAGAACTAGGGTTTTCTGTAAGGATGAGAAGATATGAGTGGAGAACCAGTAAAAAAAAGTATGTTATAAATGAGCTGTAGCAGTGGTCCATTTCCGTTAAACTCCACTTCAGCTCTACATGTACACCACTGAGTAGCTTTAGAGGCATTGGCTGTGCAACCTAAAGACTATGATGTCATGGGTGACAAACACGTTGTGAGCATAGCTGTTTACGTACGTTGCAGCGGCACGACGCGCAGGAAGCCCTGTCGTCCCAGCTTTCGCCGTGCATCTTGTCCGCGCCATTCCACTTGCACTTCCACAGGTCTCTCTGGCAGGCACCAAGGCGGCTGGACAGGACGGTCTTCTCTGCTTGGCACTGTGGACAGAAACACGCACAGCAGCCAATGTGTTAACTTCATTATTTGATCACAGCTCTCTTTCCACGAGAGAATGTCTACAGCAAGACACCTAACACGCGATAAGTCGATAACTGTCACATCATCCCTGAACATTTCCAGACATCAATGACATCATCAATGACAGCAATGACATCAGCAAGTCAACACGGGTTTGCTTTGCAGCAGTCATTCTCTCTGCACTTTACCTGGAGTTCTCTGGTCGCAGGAGTTGTTGATTTGCACACTTCAGGCAAGTCATCGTCGTTGATTCGTAGGTTCTGCACCGAACCCTGTCAGACACAGCACAAGCAACAGCTGATGAGAAGGAGATACCACTGAATGTGCACAACCGCCCTCGGCTATAACTGCTGAGCCACTTTGAATAGCGTACAGGTTAATTTTTGGCAGTTTTCAGCATTGGTGAGTCTAAGTCACACACCATCCGGGACTGGCTGTAAGGCTGTACACAAGTATTGGGGACGGACCCTATCAAACTATACGGTACACAAGTATTGGGGACTTTCCCTATCAAACTATACTAGAAGGCCTGGTACAGTGCTGCTTAATGAAATCCGAACGAGTGAGTTCTGGCCTGACCCGCAAAAAGCAACAATATCATCGCTTTTTTTATGTACACATTCAGTGTGTTGGCCATGGCGCATCACTATGTTTACTTACCATGAATCCTTCATTGGCAAGGCTATCTCCTCCCACGCATACCGTGCCGCGTACAAAGTTCGTGCTGCACACCACCGGCCTCGGTGTGGTCTCGTTGTACACCAGGTTGCAGTCGACGCGCATCATAACACGCTGCGCCGTCGGGCAGATGGTGATGGCCAGGTTGTACCACACGTCCGGGCGGAACTGATAGAGAAACCGATGCCAGTAGTCCGACGTGTCGTTGGAAGTGTAGCGAACCCTGAGCTGTAGCGGGTGCAGTAAAAGTGGAGCACAGCCAAGAGAAACCATCATCAAATTGTCCCAGAGCCCGAGCTCCTACACTTGTAGCTATGCCGAGTATAAACTACCGGAACTTCCTTATTAACTCAGGAGCTAATAACGAGTATGCTAGGCCTACTGTCACATGACTGCGAATGCATTGCATCTGAAACAGGACTGGGATTCTATGAAACCATAATTGGACCGGGGCTTTATGAAACCAAAATGATACTATCATCTCGGCCTTTCAGTGCAGCAGCCACAGTGTAAATCACTTAGTATGTCCTCTGATGATTGCTGAGGACGGACATTGTCTGGGGTATGCGTGTATTGCGCAATATTGAAGTATGTTGGGATAAGAAATACCTCTTGTGTTTTAAGTAGACTTTCCTGCTGCCCATGGGTGGGGGTACTGGGGTACTGGTGTACATCTGATCAGAGTACTACAGTCAGACCTCGCATAACCGCACACATCCGTTTTCCACAAAAATATCCGGATGGGCGAGGGAACCGGAAAATCGAACACACATACTGCATGTATGCATGGCATACGCTGTAAATCGGTAACCAACAATTTTCTTCCGGATGGCGAGGGATCCGGGTAAAAGAGGACCGGATACGCGAGGTCTGACTGTACTGCATATACAAAACAGTGAGCAAAGGATACATCATACCTGAAAGCTAGTATCATGATCATGATGAGCATCATCAGACTCATCAGACTCATCACCCATTCCTACCTCAGTGTTCCGGCGGAACCTGATGGCGAAATGCGATCCGGGCAGCGTGATGCTCAGCATGGTCTGCGGATGCCGGCTCTCGACGCGCACGGCGGTGGATACGGTGAAGCAGCCACCTTGGGTGCACGCCGGACGCATTGCGCTGATCATGTCCTCACGACTCTGCAAACGGCACAAGGTCAGGACAGCAATCATCAAAATCTCGGAAAATTCAATGAAAATCACAATGTTGCTTCCCACTCTAAAATAATAATGCCAATCACAATTACATAACCAAGCATCTTTTCCCATCTTTTCCAATGTCCAAAAGTTCCGCGCAAGAGATAGAAGTGCGTACTTCGAAGTAAAAAAATATTATTTGATCATACATGTAGCATGAACAGCAGGAGTGTCACCGTCTACATTAGACACATCTGCTGTTCATGCTGTATGTATGATCAAAGACTGATCATGGGAAAGCTCATACAGTGACTTCCGAGGTAGCTACATTGTAAATCAGAGTGGAGAAGATACCACTGCAGGCCTTCATTCAGCGTAGCAATCGGATACATGTATCCTCCGTATTGGCCCACGCCGTAAGAAGTCTGCATTTCATTTCCAAGTAAGTTGAACTCACGTTGACATATCTGCACATTCTGGGAGTGCCAGCCTTGAACTGGAAAGCTCTGTGCACGCTGGATTGAGGTGCACCCTGTGGCGCAGGGATGAACGACCACTGTCTTTGCATGCCATCGGACACACCAACATTCAGGCCATTGGAAGCTGCACACAAACAGGACAGCAAGTACATCCATGTATTCAGGGTAGTGCACATCATGTTTCAGCGTTTCTTCCCAGGGCACTGGTACATAACGTACATGGTTCTGTTCAACTGGAAGATGCCCAAAACACACACACATACACACACACACACACGCACACACACACACACCATACACTGTGTACAGTATTATTGTCCGCAGCTGAAGTGCACTGATTCACTGATTCACTGATTGACAATCATGCTGAAGTACCTTGAAGTTTGTAGTGTGTATGTTGTACCTCTTGTACATGCCACCGCATGACGGCGGCGCCTCTCAACCACTAATCAAAACTATGATCCCCCCCCCCCCACACACACACACACACCTCTCCACAAACACTGCCTTGTTGTTATCCTAAAAACATTGGCAGTGACCAAACGAGCAGAGGCCTCATGAGTTGACTCTTGGTAACACCTTGGCTATCAATGTCGTATCTATGCAGTAAGCCAGATCAACACACGAACTCCCTGCATCACTTAGCAGTGCACCAATCAACATCATTACTGAGCAGACCCCCACCACCACCAAAACACACTACAGTACACTACTATGTCACCAGTGCCGAACTCTTGATATGTGACATTCTCACTGGACACTGCACTGTCAGGGGGGGGGGGGGGGGGTCAAGGCTTCAACTTTTCAAGGGACAACTCAACTTTAAGGGTGCACCATACCAGTGCAGTGGCAATGTGCTGGGTCGCTTAGTTACTGTGTTGCCATGGAGGGGGGGGGGGGGGAGACACCACCATTGTTAGCTCTCCATTCGTCTCAAATAATTATACGAATGTTCTACATGAGCCTACAACTAATATAAATATTACTTACAAGTACAGGTAATTTTCTTTACATCATACCATGGCTTTGTTCTGTAAGTATGCCTGTCTATGTTATGGCTGGATCACCTGTAATGCATGTACTGGTAGATTTACATTATGTACCTAGCGGTGGCTGAGTGCAAATACATACTAGTAATTGGACCAGACATGTTAAAACGACCTAAAACCAGTAAAGAGTACCTAAAGCGTCACCACCATTGCGGTGCACGACTGTGCCTAAGCGGTCTGTGCATAAATCCGCTCGGAGAATACCAAACCGCCACTCCTATCAAGTACTTTGAAAACTGATCCTGAAAAGCTTGTAACTGCACAATGCATCGTAAAATGCAGGCTGTGTGGGCTTCCTCACCTGTCGCTAACGCCGTCACGAGCAGCGCTATCCTCAGTAGTAGCAACATAGTCATTGCGCCGGCGGTTACCAGTCGGGTCTTGAATGAAAGGCAGGAGGAAACGGAGGTCCGCAAGATGACGTTCTGCTCCTGATGCCTGGTGAAGCTTCTAAAAGAATTCAGAGGAGCTGCTCTGTGGTTCTACAACTTCGAAGTTTGATAACTCTTCCCCTGCGCCGATCTTCTTATACCAACTCACTTGTAAGTTCGAGCCATGTCTTTGGGTGAGTTGTGGGCTGTACTGTGGGAGAGCGCTTCCTGCAGCCTAGAAAGTAGGTGGCGTTGAAGGAGCACTCGAGTTTCAACTGATGTACTTGCCGCGTGGTCATTTCTCGCCACCCTTGCCATCGGTCGATATACTGTATGACCTAATCAGTGGTGGTATTGAACGTATTCACGATCACTGTTATGTGCGTTTGGCTCATGACAAACGTGAGTGGGACACGACTCACGACGCGTTGAATGCACGAGGAAATCATGGTGAGAAATCATCCACATTTCAAAACACTGCAAATGCGATTGATGAATTCATAGGTCGTAGTCGTAGAAGTCGAGGCCGGTGTACTTGAATTGCACTTCAAACTCAATTGTTTTCAGCCATGCGTTCACCAAGCTGGGCTCGGTCTTGTATGTGATTTGAAGACAGCAATTAGCAAGGCCCGAATGCAAAAGAGCAACATACTTCACGAGCTGAATTGGTCTGTCGCTACTCGCTAGCCCCGGCAGCGAGCTCTGGTTGTAGACCTAGAATAGCTAGGCTAGATGCACTGAGCTATGAGGCTTTGTACCTTGGTGAACTCGAAAGTACAGAGTTCGTGCGCGCGCGCGCGCGCGCGGTGCCGCGTTCGCAGACGCTGGGTTGTTATGTAGGCGGAGAATGCCTGAGACGACTGCCGCGACCCTGCGCTAGCGCGCTGCATGGCTGTACTGAGACTGCAGTGTGTGTGTGATGGTACGTGTTGTGTGTGTTTGTGTGTGTGTGTGGGGGGGGGGTGTATATGGGGGGGGGGTCAAGATTCGCCAACCGCGATGTGATGTGCTAGCGACCGCGTACATGTGCTAGCGACTGGAGCGGAGTCACCCGCCACGCGGACCTGGTCTGCTGCTGGGCAGGGGATGTTCATTACTGTGCATGATGCATAATGATGAGGCCTGATCGTCAATCTCATGACTGTAGTGTGGGGAGTGTAGTAAACGATCACGATTAGATGGTGCTGGGCTGGTACATGTACTTGGTGGACGATGACAATGCAGTCCAATGACCGTGGACGTGATTTGCATGTATCAGAGCGAAAATACCTGCTCATGTTCAAGATCTCAAGATCGTCTTGTACAGCCACAACCAGCTACGAAATAGCCCACGAAACTGCTAGATGCACACAGTAATTGAATACCGGTATAACAATAATAAAACATATTATTATTATTTATACGCTCAGTAAGCACAAGATTTTAAGGCCCAGTAAGTTTATAAACACTTGAATTAGTTTCACGATAACACTGTCCGTGATCATGGTTACGAGTGTCATGCAATCGTAGACTTCGTAGTGCTTCTTTCTCACAGTGCACACCAATATTGCTTTATTTATTTATTTATTACAGCATCTCATGGCACAGTGAGAACACCGGCCAATACAAAGAGAGAGGGTGTTAGCCAACCACGGCAAGGCAGGGAGAAGGGGAGGAGAAGAAAAAGGAACCGGCATGGATAAGCAGTGATTGCAACCAAATCAGAAACACAAAATCAAAATCAAGGCGCGACAAGGCTCTTAAAAAGGCGGAGGGAAGAAAGGTCCTTAGCTTCTTGGGGAAGTGCCAGCCACGCAGAGTACGCAATAAAAAAGGGAGAGTGAAGTAGAAAGGGGGACTTAGGTTTCGGAAGGGAAAGGGAGTTTCTCGTGCTACGGGAAGAGAACCAGTTGAAACAGTGGAGGTGAGGTGGACACAGATTGAGTTTGAGAGAATGGATAAGGGTGACAAGATGTGAATTACGTCTCTTAGACAAAGGGGAAGTGTCAGCAAGGGCATAAAGGGTGGAAGATGGAAGCATGCGGGGTTTTCGGAGGAGGATTTTGAGAACTTTTTTGTGTTGAATCTCGAGCTTGGCAGCACGGGTTGTGGAAATTCCAGCCCAAGCAGTATCTGCATAATCAAAAATGGGGCGTAAGTCTTTGCAGTCTTTCCAGCATGACCTTTGCAGTGGTTTAAAAAATTATACTTTTGATCATAAACCCAACTGGCAAAGGAGAAAAGACAAAGGAACAGAAGAAAAGAGCGAACAAAGCAGATGGAAGGAAAGACCAGGACAGAGACCAACAGGACAACACTCAACAGTGCGTCAGTGGGGTTGCACAAAGCAGCTAGCGGTGACGTTGGCTAAGCTAACATGAGCTGCATTGCCTGGCTGTACCTGGTAGATCTACACAATGATGGGATCTTGTCTAAACAGTAACTGGGTGCGTGTGAGGGACAGTTTGGACGTAAACATAATACTCGGTGTCGTGGGCATAACGATATTGCATGGGGAGAGGTTGGGGGTGTAGCCTAGTAGCCTTGGCTAAGGACAGAGGGTTGGAGTGTATGCCATCATGGATGAGGTCTACTCTACCCAACTGCTGTCCTCCTTCCTACCCCTGGCCTAGGTAACCAGGCCTGACCTCTGAATCCTGACCTGGATACGATCATGTACTGAGTCCATACTGGCATAGCTATGCACATGACCAGCATCATACTAACTACTACTAGTACTAGTAGTATGTAGAATCCTTTTACCGTAGTACAGTTGCTGTATGTAGAATCTACAATGACACAAATGTGCAGTGTGGTTCAGAGCGGGAAGTCTCATTCTGGCTTTCTGCTGCCTTGGTGATTTGTGTACTGCTACTTGTGCTAGTACTGCAATGCGGGGGAACGAATCAGTGTGGATCCACTACTATTACTAACTTACTTATTAGCATACTATTTTAGCATTGCTGTGAGTGTGGGAGCAGCAGTGCATGCGAGAGTTCACTGACCCGTGCTGCGTGGTGTGGTGGCGTCACGTGTGTGCGTGGGTATCCTGGGCAAGGAGGGTGCTCGGCTACGCACGCCGAAATATCCTCTAGTCTAGATATCCACATGTACATGGTACTGTGCTGCTTGTACATACACTGTATCCATCTGATCCCGAACACTGTATCCATCTGATCCCGAACACTGTATCCATCTGATCCCGAACATGTAACATTTTAACAGTTACATGTACATGGTTTACCTTTGCTACGCAGTTACAGATGCGTACAAGGCAGAGTACTGGTGAAGGAAGCTGGCACTGCAATGGTTTGAGCTACATTCTTTGTTGTTGGTACTCTGATTATCCGTATTATCCGTATTCACATGGCCTTGCCATTCATTCAGTATATTAATGTCATCAATAATGATATTCTTGTTTGTATTAGTTTATGTGACACCATTTTCTATTTTTCTTTGCCTGCCTGCCTGCTGGCGGCCTTTTTTCGCATGGTTCGGTGCAAGCGAATTTGGGCGAGCCCATTGACGCGGGAGCACAAATAATAATAATAATACCATGACAAAATACTGTCCATGGTAGGCTGGATCCTGTGCTTCTGAGGTTGTTGTGCAAAGTAATTACTAATTAGTTAGTTGTGTATCCGGCCGTATGCCACTTATCTACGCGGTGTACAGCCTGGTACAACGAATCTTAATTAAAATTTGATGACACAATTCGACACACGATGGTATGCCAATACTGCCAGATCAATGCCAGATCAATGCAATATCATGCAATGATGAGGTAATGATACATTGGGTTCAATGACACGTGACTGTGTAAGGTTGACGACGCACTCCCGCCTACAGGCTTCCCACTTCGTTCTAGCAAGGTAAACATTTTCGGGTCATCCAAGATGACATGTCGTGTGATGAATGCATGCAAATACGAGAGCCCGCTTCTGTTCCTCGCCATCGATCATCTGGTGGGAAGAGCTGCTCGGCAAACACTCCCATGCCACCCATGCCATGGAGCATCCTCCAAGGATACCTGCCACGACTCCCAGGGGTCTCCTCAAACTGTTGACACCTGCCTAATAATCATACACGAGTCAATGCAGTGGCCCGATTACAGCATTACCTGGATGTACTGGCTGGCTAGGCTGTGATCTTGGCGGGGATGGTAGAACTGGATGGTGGAGCATTGGAGGTCCTCGTTAGGAAAAGTGGCAGGATTGGAGGGCGTGTTTCGACTGCACTTCATCTCAAGTGGCCTTTCAAAGTCACTCCGAGAGAATGCAGAGAAAATGCACAACTACTACTGTACTAGACTTTGTGTCGTTGTATCTTCGGATTACAGCGAGCTTCATTAGACTCAATACATAGTAAGCCACCTATCATTAATTTTTTGTAAGGGTTTACCGGGTGTTAGCGGCCGTCGTGAGTTCCCTTCGGGAACGGACACGATAATTAATTATTTTACTTTTTTTAAAACTTTTTTATCATTAATGTTATACATACTGAAGTAATTGTAAGCTACCTATCATTTTGATTGGTGGCTAGGTGTTGTACGTTGTGTTGAGTTGCGGTGCATGCTGCATGCCAGTGGCCAAGCACTGACAGTCTGCAGTGGTCTGTGTAGTGGTGTGCACCACTCTTGGTGGGTATCCGGTATGAACATCTGTGGACCGTGGAGCCAGCCCCCCCCCCCCCCCCCCGTTTCACCTTCATGGTCTTGGCATTCCAACGAAAACAGACATGCAATAGGAACTCAGGACTGTCTTCAGTGTCCTGTGGGTAACCCTCATGTTGTAGAATACCGGTAGGAGGACTTCATCACTGGAATTCCCCGAAAGTAACTCCGACCGGTTTGCTCATGATGGAGGTAAAATCTTGTCTAAAACATTTAATCATGTAAGAGTCCTGTTTATAGACTCTGTATTCTAGCACTAAAAGAGAGTACACCGTTAGTCCAAACTAACTTTTAACTGCCTTTGGCAAACGTCATTGGAACCCAGAGTCATGTACATGACTCTGTACATAACCCCGGCCCGCAGCTACTCGTACATACATGTACATGTACACCGAAGGATGTACCCAGAGTGCTTGACAGTGCTCAACACCACAAAGGCAGAGCGTAATACACTACAGAACAACAAGGACAATCAAGGCTTGTTTGCTGCTACTTTAAGTTTCATGCTTACGCAATCATCAGGCAACACATGTACATGTACATGTAAATAAGTCATACGCCCCCAAGTACTGTA